ACTGGCAGCAATGTGGATAATCAGATCAATTGCTGGTTTTAGCTGACTTAAGGGCAACATCAACTGGTAAATAGCAGTTGCTGTTAGTTAATATCTCATTGATCTATTTTCTTAGCAAAATTTGGACCCTGTGGATTTGAACCCACCTTGAGGTTAAAGGTCATCTTCAAGAGAAGGGCAGGGATGGATATGGTGCCAGTGATCTATATGACACCCCTCGACTGTCTTTTGAACTCTTCCATATGCACATGCATATTGACAATCATAATGAAACTGTATATGATTTATGATTTGAAAAGCTTGTTTAAATTTGAGAGTTCTGTTTGTTCCCTGTTGAATTTGTAGTGAAACTTCTACTTTAGAATATGTGCAGTGATGCCTAAGAAAGTACAACAAGAATATTGAGTGTGCGCTATTGACCTACTTTTGCAACAGAGAGATATGGATATTAAGTCAATCATGAAGACAGCTGAGTTTGTTGGACCTGAACATAAGCAGCGTGGTTTATCATGTCAATGGATTGAAAATTGGAAAACTGGACAGTGCGTGCAATTTTACTGAAATTTTGATTGACAGAATCCTTAGATTAAAGGGACTGAAAAGAGGTTTAAAGAGGAAAATACTGTTACAAGTTAGAACCAATGATAGCTGGAAATATGATTTCTTATACAGGATAATCCTGGTATAATGGAAAGTAATTGGACCTTGACCTGATTAAGATATTTGTTCATTTTGTGATCTTTTAGTCAAATTTATGTAAGCTAAGCTAGTTGTATAGTTTCTATCAGTTGAGAGCCTATCTCATGCTGCTGACACATGTTACAGATGCTGATTTCTCATCAGGACAGCTAGTGATCAAGGATAACTTTCAACACTGGACTTTCACAATATGAATATGAGCTTTGTAAGGAGATTATTTATGATTAATAATTAATGATTGAACCTCCTCTAGAGCAGACACTTGTGTGAGGTAGTGACAAAATGACTTGGTACAACAGACCTATGTCGCTTGCACCTTTGACTGTTGACAGTTTATGTAATAACTTTTGTGACCTACATTTTTCCTTGTTCACTTAAAATGAAAATTATAGTTGCTGTTTAATTTCTGGATGTACATGTACATCTTAACCTGGACCTACAGTATTTGTCACCAGTTTTAAGGACAACTTTGACCAACAGAAATCTGTTTATCATGACCTACATTTAACTTCAAGGGAGTTAAGCCATAGGTATCAAGAACTTCTTTTGAAGGAATGTTTTAGATATATGTATTATTTTGTGTGAAAACACTAATCATATAGTTTCAAGAGTGTTCACAGAGAAAATGTATTGGTCGGTTTGGTCTGAAGTTATTTTTCTTTGTATGTTATTAGCAATGTGAATATTAGAAGGAATAGAAATATAGTATAGTGTGTTTGTCTTCTACAACTACAGTGTGTTAAGAGGAAAATCTAAACTGATTTTACTGTGCTTGAGTTATAGATATCATATATAACTGCTATTGTTATTGAAATAACTTAGACATGACTTTTACTTGAGTGACACTTGAAGAATGATATGAACTTAGAGAAAATCATTTCTTTGACACCATAAATCACTACCTCATCCCCAAAAAGCATTTTTACTGCCAAGGAAAGCTAATATTGGTGTATTATGACTAAAATCCAAGGGACATAACCACATTTTAAGACTACTATTATTGGACTTAGATTTTTTTGAAAAAAGTGTTCAAGTTTCAACTTATAGTTCGAGGAATTGATGTATTTGTGTGGATTATTCTGGATTTTGATTAGTTGATTAATTTGTAACAATTCATTGGATTTGTGATTACTATTCAGCTGAAAATTACCCATATTTGTGTTGCAGCTACTTACAGTTGGACTCTGTAATAAATTATAAACTAAGACTATATTGTGTAAACCTTGCTTGAAATTAGGGAATGGGTCTGACAAAAATGAAGTTTTTGCCCCATCATTGAATGCGGGCCAGCCCAATTCTACTGTATTTACATTCAGCAGTGTCTTAGGCACAGACCCATATAAAAATTATGACATTTTGGGCGCGACCCAATTTTGAAAAATGACTTTGAAAAATGTTGGTTTTAACTTGAAAACAGAATTTATTAGTTCTATTGAAGCCAACTGTTTCTAAGATCCTGTGACTTTTGATATTACTTTGTGAAGTTGGACTTAAAATTTATTATGAATATAGGAATACATACTGTACTAAGTATTACTCTTGTTGTTAATGATGTGTGGGGACTTGAAAATCGAAGATGTCTTCGCTCCTGATGATACTGTAATATTAAGCCCAGTGTGTTTGTTTACATTTGTCTTTTAGGATTGAGTTCTTACCAGGGATGACACAAAGTTTACAAAGACATGTGAATTTTCTTTCATAAATTAATAAATTAAGCAACAAATAAACATTATTTAAGAAAATATGTTAAAATTTTTGCAAATTTGTCCACCCTAGGACTTGCTAATTTCAATTTATTCCACGAAGCACTGAACATTTTTTTCAGTTTGAGTTACCAGATATCATACAGTGTTTCAGTGATCTGGAGATAGCTGTAGAACTAGAGATAGATGTCCAGGTTGAAAATAGTTCGACTTTTTGTTTAAAACTTTACAATTTTTGTTGTTACTTTGAATTTTTTTTTGTTACTTCGAATTTTTAAAAGTTACTTTGATAATGATTGAATTATTGCTTGGAAAACGTTCAACATGAGTTGTAATGTTGAGACTTTTAATTTTTCTTGTTGCAGTTGAGTTGACTATTTATGATTGTTCCAGAATGTTACTTTGTTTTTGTTTTATTTTGAAGTTAATTGTTTGAATTTACCCTTTTTTTGGGGGGTGGGGGAGGGTTATATTATACTTTTACTTTGATAGTTAGATTGATTATGTACACATGCTACAAAACAAATCATACACACAAATATTGAAAAAGATCTTTAACATTCTACACTTCAATATGGTAGAACTATAGTGTTGATGTTTCATTATCCAGTGTCTTGTCATTTGCTTTTGAGTTGATGATAAAATCGAAAACAAACTGAATGGTCATTCATGACTACTAAGCTCCAAAGGGGATAGTGAGTTGACAAACTCCATAAGTATGCCGCCTTGGCATTATGCTCAAATTTTTGGAAACCTTATGGCAATCTGAGATTGGGTTAGTGAACTCGTTATCCCCTATGAAGAGTATGCGAAGCTCACCAAATTATTACACACGCAAAACACATTTGAAAAAAGATTTGAATGACATTTAGAAGCGAGGAGCAAATATATAACACAAGACAATAATTATAGTATAAAACACACTTCTTTAATACATGGGTACATAACGTTTCATCTGATGATGACACATGTAACTTGTGTTGAAACAATATGTACCCATGTATTAAAGAAGTGTGTTATACCCCATAAAACACAGGTTTGCAAAAAAATGAAATGGATACTGGCAACTTTATTCCATGATAATAAAAACAAAAACCTCACAAAGTACCAATTGAAATTGCAGGTTGAACTAACATCTGACACAGGAGATTTTTCAACACCTTTATTTGGGCCCATAAAAGAAAATTCAAAAAGTTTAGAAACGACCTCCAGTCTACCGAGTACAGATTACAGTGCCGATTCCAGTTATCAACATAGTCTACCTAAACAGAAAGCTGATGAATCCGTAGAGAAAAGCGGAAGTTCGGCTTCAGGATCCAGTTCCTCAGATTCTAGGTTTGTAGAATGGAGATTTCTAAATCATGATTTATAACTTGATAATGGAATTATTTTTCTAATGAAAGGGATATAGTTGTCTAACAAGCCGAAATTTAGCCATCTATATCCCTTTAAAAATTCAAAACTGGCAATTCGATAAAACATTAAAACCATTTTGCTTATAATAAAATTCTAACCTATATTGAGAACACTTGTAGCATCTACCAGTCTTGGTAATAGAGCTCTCGAATGTCAATATGGAAAGTAGTAAAAACGTCTGATACACATACAAAGTCTAGAAAGTTTCTTTTGATTCCTAATACTCAAACCATGCTAGATAAACCCTATACTGGTACATGTGTTAGTATCCTAAAGTTAGGTTAGATACACTCTAAGGTACAGAACAGTAGGATATAAAACTACATTTCATTTCATTAGTCCAGTAAACTACAGAACAGTAGGATATAAAACTCTATTTCATGTCATTAACTCAATAAGGTACAGAACAGCAGGATATAAAAATACATTTCATTTCATTAGCCCAGTAAGATACAGAACAGTAGGATATAAAACTCATTAGTTCAATAAGATACATAACAACAGGATATAAAACTATATTTCATTTCATTAGTCAGATAAGATACAGAACAGTAGGATATAAAACTCCATTTCATTTCATTAGTCCAATAAGATACAGAACAGTAGGATATAAAACTCTATTTTATTTCATTAGTCCAATAAGATACAGAACAGTAGGATATAAAACTCCATTTCATTTCATTAGTCCAATAAGATACAGAACAGTAGGATATAAAACTCTATTTCATTTCATTAGTCCAATAAGATACAGAACAGTAGGATATAAAACTCCATTTCATTTCATTAGTCCAATAAGATACAGAACAGTAGGATATAAAACTCTATTTTATTTCATTAGTCCAATAAGATACAGAACAGTAGGATATAAAACTCTATTTTATTTCATTAGTCCAATAAGATACAGAACAGTAGGATATAAAACTCTATTTCATTTCATTAGTCCAATAAGATACAGAACAGTAGGATATAAAACTCTATTTCATTTCATTAGTCCAATAAGGTACAGAACAGTAGGATATAAAACTCTATTTCATTTCATTAGTCCAATAAGATACAGAACAGTAAGATCTAAAGGTAATTTAATTGTATGTACCAAATAAGGCATAGCTCTATAAGATATTAAACAGTAGAGCAAAGCCTCAAATTCACTTCAAAATAGTATCTTGAGAGCTCTCATTTAGAATGGAGTTGTCTCTCTTTACCCAGAATAAACAAGTATTAATTTGTTTCAGCAGCTCTGACTCTGAATCAGGGTCTGGTGGTGACTCTAAGAGTGATTCTGACTCGAGTAATAAATCAGGGAGTGAGTCAGGGAGTCAATCAGATGACAAAAGTTCCAAACACAACAGTTCAAATCAGTCCCGTAGATCTCGTATTATCAGTGATGAATCTGAACAGGATGAAGAAGAAGGAGATGAAAAACCACGAAGGAAGTCGACTAAAGACATTAAAGAGGTTTGTACTAAATTTGATATTCAGCCAAAATGATCTGGAATATATTGTCATAGTGACTGAGTTTTATTGCGTAATTCTATCTTCCCGAACATTTGAAGGAATACATGATATTTTAATATTCCGTGAATTGCCAACTAGAAATGTATTGCCAAGTGATCTATTAATGATTAGTATATATTAAGATTTTTTATGGAACAAAAGCTTTCCTAATTTTCTCAGTGTAAAACACAACACTCTATCAGGAAATAAGAGATACAAGGCCTGGTTATATCATGCAAGATTAAAGTTTTTTTGAAACAATTATAAGAAAGTAAGTGACTGTAATTAGAACTATGTGTAACAAAATTCTAAAGAATTATATGCTGAATATAGTTCAGTTGTCTGAGAAAAAACATGATTCAAGTTCTGTTTTAATATTTCTAGCACTGGGTTAAACAACCAGATCTATATGGTATACGAAGATCAGGTAGACAGAGAAGAGAAGTAGACAGATTTAACGCTGCAGAGGTTAGTATTACTACTATGCTTTTCCTGCTGATACAGCTCAATTTTACTTCCCTGTATTATTTTACAGAGTAGAAAATAAAATTCAGGTTAATCTGTAATTTAAGTATAAGTGTCAGGGTGGTCTTAATTTTCAGTCCACGAGAACTGAGGGTAACCAGTAAATTAAATGTTTAGCTGTCAGGGGTTTTGTGATATGATGGTATCATGTTCTCTCAGATAGTGTCTTCAGATTTTCAACCCCATGTACTACAGGCTGCACCATATAAAGATCTTCAATAATAAGTACAGTAATTTAAATGAGTAGACTTATGCTGCTATCATGACCAAATTTCATCAGTGCACACCAACATTGCCTGTTTTTATCAGCCCAAATACTAGTTAAACCTCCATTTTCTTTAATTTCCAGGCTGATAGTGATGATGAGGCTCCTAAAAGACGGAAAAACAGAAAGGAGTATGTACCTTATCTTACTATAAAATCTTTTTCTATCAAACTTTTTCTGCTTCAATAGACAATACTTACTATTTTACTTTACTATTCAACAGTTTTGTTTGTGCTTTTAGTTTATTTAGTGCCCTTAGTTGTAGCCTATTAGCTTTTAGAAGACAGCTGTAGTTTGCATTTATAGTCAATTAGATTTAGAAATGCATTTTGGGACATTTCTACTGTAAAGTAGACAAAATTTATTCATAAACATACTGAATATAATTCAATATGACACAAGCAGTCCACTTATTTTTGGGTGGTAAAGTAAAAATAATCACAGTTAGTGGCTTGTATAGTTTAGATTTAAAACTTTATTATCTGACCCATAATGAATGTCCAAATTGTGTAACTGTCCATTACCATCTAGTCTTAGAATTAGTCTTATATTTCTCTTTCCCTTCTAGAATTTTTATTTCTGTAGTTTCTTTATTTTGGAAAATATAAACTGAAATTTAAACTTAGGCTGGTGTTTTTATAGTTTTTAGAAACTTGAAATGAAAAACCCAATTTTTATGTCAAAATTTTGCCAAATGTCATGGGCCAGTTCATGTTAAACTATTGTGGTCTGTATAAATTCTATAGGTCTGACGATTGGGCGGAGGAATCCAGTGAAGATAGTGGAAGCAGTTCTTCTGGAGGATTCAAACCTGCACCAAGAAACACTCGTAATCGCAGGTACTAACTTTTCAAAATTCATCATTCATTTGGAATCGTCATATTTTCTATGGAAACACTCATTACATACTGAAAATTCAAATGAAATCTTTTTCATGCGTCAAATTTTGATTAGAATTATCCAAACGGAAAGATGAAATTTTTCCAGAATAGTTTTGAAATTATGAGATTCATATTAATTCATCAGCATATCATTCCTGTTGAAAAAGACCTCAAATTTTTTACCAAAATGTTTTTATACATAAATTTGAAACTTACTCTTAAAAGCTGAGTTTTAAACTGGTTGTTAGAGCAATAAGGTATCTCAGATGGTAGTTGGTTTTATCATCACCTGCTGGAAGATTAGGTACCATGGGTTTGAATCCCCTTTTATCTTACACATTACAAGAGAATTTATAAATATACTGAAGTGTAGTAGTTATTATGCATGCTTATTCTCTGTCTATCCTCTGTAGTTAAATATCAGTAGAAGCTAGAATATAGAAATGTTAAAACAGAACCTGAAACATGTTGTTTCTCGCAAGTTTCAGTCTGTTTGAGATTCAGACTGAAATATATATAAGCTAGAGATTTGAGCCTATGTATGAATTCCAAAAAATCAGAAAAGAGGAGAAAGATATTTCTCCTATTGAAAAAATGGATAGGCTGTACAATTGTTATGCTTTGCTCAGTTAAGTCACCTGATGACAATGCTATCATTTGTTAATGATGGAAATCAAAAGTAAAATATTTACATCAGCAAGCTTTTAGCCTTCTACAAAATATTACTTAGCATCGAACTTGAGTATTGGATTGCTCATGTATTTAATGTTAATAACAAGTATTTAAGGCTTGAAAACATATGCTTAGAAGTTTGAACGTCAATTCATTTCGCTTATTCTTGATATAAAATGTTTTGGAAATCAGAGAGTGTCAAAATTGTAGGTTACACTGCATGCCATTGTACAACTTAGCCCTATCAGTGCAGAAATGAAATGAAAGTTTAACGTCCTACGGGCAACGCCATATAGGGTGCAATGAGGGAAATTTTGCAAGGACAGTGGCATTAGTCTGCCCTTTTTCAATTTCCAACTGTCGAGGGACTAACATGCACAACCTGTAGCACACAGGGCCTCTGTTATTGTCCCATCCAAACAACTAGAAGCTTTATCCATGTAAGCCCCTCTTACCTGCATCACTGACAGTACAGGGGGAAACTGGGTTGAAAAGTCCGAAGGTATTATCTCTACAGTCCTGTGCAGCACAGGCTGTGCTGGGATTGAACCTTGGACCTTCAGGTTATACCAGTGCAGTTCACCAGCCAAATCGCTTACAGAACAATAAGATGTAAAACTCTATTTCTTAAATTCCCTTGTATTTCAGGACAAAAGGGAGACCAGCTGGTAGACCAAGTAAGAAGGGGAGTTCAAGACAAGGGACAACTCGTCGAAAACGTAATTTATCAGATTCTTCCGACGAATACAGTGATGACGATGATGATGATCGAAGATTCTCCGCTCGGAGAAATACGTCCAAAAAAGTCAGGTGAGTTAAATGAAAAATTTAGAATTCTTGGAATGTGTTTGACTTGTTGAGATTTGAAAAATTTGAAATTCGAAGGCAGTGCTGATGATTGAAATTTTAACAGTTAGATAATTTGGCATGTTATTTTAAAATCGTTAATAATTTTGGTTTAAAATGCCTCATCTGATTAACATTGTCAAAAAGACTAAAATTACAGTTGGATATTTTAGAGCTATTGTCAGTCCTGTTGGGGAAAAACAGCCAGATCAACAGCACTGCCACTTTTATTATCTTTAACACTGAGTTATCAAAGCATGCATGCAATCAAAGAAATCATCTAATCTAATTCAACCCAAAACTGCCTCTAGATGCTTTAGTTTATGCTCTTGAGTCCAAAACTTTATCGAATTTGAGCTGTATTACGATAGTATTGTGGCGCGTGTCTTTGACAAGGCAGGGTATGCTCAATCCTCATAGAACACCCATTGCCACTCTGTTACTGAGCTTGTCAACTCAGCATCCCTTTTGGGGAGTCCACATAGCTAAAAATGTTACATTGGTATTTAAGTTTGTGAACTCAATAACCCTTTCAGAGAGTCCACATATCTAATAATGTTGACTGAGTATTTAGGTTTGTCAACTCCATCCCATCCCAGGTTTGCATCCCATTGATTTGGGGAGTCCACACAACTAATATTATTTATTAGGCATGTTTATTAATAGTTGGGTGAACATGTTTCAGATTGGCATCATGTGTTCTTGATGAGTAAGCATGTACTGCCTCACTGGCAACGTTTTCTAGAGTAATTATTATAGTAGAGCTAAAATTCAATAATGTTGCAGACTCAATCTCAAGAGCTGATAGTTTAGTTGTGTCATAACTTTTAAAAAGTGTTCATTTAACGACAAAGTTTTTAACTGATCTATGATGGTTTTGATGTTTTATTTCATCTAGTACACATAAATCTCGGAATTTGAGGAGAAAGCCTGGTAAAAACACAGTCAGGTAACGGAAGGCACTCTCTCTCTCTATGTATATATATGTATTCTTTATAATGCATGATGGTAGACATGGTAGGCTTAGCGTACATATCTTGACTATTTTGGCTTAATTAGACCAAACTTCTGTTCTGTTTTAATCAAAAAGCTGATAACAACGGAAGGAAAGTTTGGTCTAGTATTAATTAGACTAGGTGTAATTGTGTTGACTATATTATATAAGTTATAAACCACGCCCATATTCACGTTTATAAGTATATCAAAATCAATTATAGGGCACTTCGCTTGTGCTTTGCAAAAATATTTCATCTATATCACAGTAAAATTAATATTTCACTTCAATAGACCTTATTCTCACCTTGTTTTTGAAACACTGAAATTGGGAGCAAGGTTCATAACGCAAATTATGTCATGATGATAAGATGGTGATGTCATATGAATGAATAGCTTATATCACGGCACTAAAAATCTAATGAACAGCGAAAATTCCAGTTCTAGGACATGTGTGATGATAAAATTCATCTGAAAGTATCATTAAGTAGCTTCATCAATTCCAAATTAAATGACTAATGTGATTAGCTTTGATTTACTAGGAAATGAGAAGTAGGCTTTAAGATGTCAAGGTGACGATTTTACTGCGGTGACACCACATTACCTTCGTTTATTTGCGTAATGAACCTCGTTTTGGATTCAATATGGCCGAAGCGTTAATAAGGTCTATATGATGAATCATTCACAGTTATTAATATTGTTTAAGATATCAATCCTTATTGACACGTATAAAATTATATAACTGATAAAGAAGATGCTTCAATATTGTTTTACTGTCCGCACCCTACCGCTTGGCTTTAATGAAAATATCTTAGATTATAAGATTAATTTCTAAGCTTAGCTTTGGTTATCGAATAGCTCTGCTTGGTGCAATATGCCATGGGCCTTAGTTTACTATAGTATCTTCTAGTCATAAATAATCTATTGCACTTATTTTTCAAAAGAAAATTGAGAGTTTTCTGATGCAATTTGGAGCAAAATGTTTTGAAAACTTATTTTTAATCAACTTTCCCTAGGAAATATAAGTTTTTACCTAGTAAACTATAAAAACAAATCATATGCTGGTTGTGTTGACTTCATTGTTTGGAATGAGTCTCTCAGACTATTTCGATTTTTAACATAGATTATTTCCCCTGATGATGACATGACAAAAGTAAGAACTGGGCTTGAGGACGTTGGACAGTAATGGTATAAATATGTAATTGTATCCATCAACATCTTCTTTATTTTACAAAATCGTAATAAAATAGTTATAGAAAAACATCCACCACTTTCTTCTGTTCTACTATCGAGAACAGTAGGACGTAAAACTCCATTCAATTCATTTCATTTTTTACTATCGAGAACATTCATTGAGTGACTGCAAATCCTTCATTTTGTTGTTGTACATTTTTTTTCGTGTATAGTAAGACAATATAACATATTATTGATATATTTATTGTTGTAACATTATGCACTTAGTAGAAGTATACCATAAAATAGTGTTATCTACCTATTTCTAATGAATTAAGTTTTGTACAATAAAACCAAGAAGTATTTGTATACTGTAAAAATTGTTTGGTTTCTTATATAATCAGCTCTCTACTCCTAGACACGTATTCTCGAAGAGATCTTAACACTAGGATGTCCTAGATTCTTATCTCCTATCACTGTTTCTAGGATATCCTAGCGCTTAGAGCGTTTTGAGAATACATGGCCTGAATATCTTTGATTATATGAAAACCATCAGTATATTTTATGTATTTCAGTATTTTTATCTTGTGTATTTTAATCGTGAGAATGTTTGTCATTTATTTCATTCTGGTATTTTTCTGTTTTTCCAGTTATAAAGAATCATCAGAAGAACAGACGGATTCTGATGATATCGTAGAAGCTGCGGCTCCAACTCAAGAGGAACTGGAACAGGAGAGCAGAGAAACCATAGAAAAGGTTTATGAACAAAGAAAGGGCCGGAAAGGAGGTAAGACAAGTCACATAAATAAAATATCTGGGATGTGATTAGGGTGTAGTACTGCTTTTTAAAATAGGAGCTGAGTTTGACATGAGCTTATTTAAGATCATGATAGTTTAGAATAAACAATTAATAAATGAGATATTCAAATTAGAACAGGGAACTTTAGGGTCATTCTGTGTCGAATCACCAAAAAAGTAAAAAGTAAACTATACCCCCTTTGATTTTCTTTTATATAGTTTGGACTGAAAAAGCTGATATTCCAAATTTTAGCTTGATCGTACTAACGGTTCCTGAGATATGGCCCACCCAATTTAGAGAATTTCGGCCAAAATTGGCGTGACCATTATTATTGAAATGACCATTTTCTGAAATAAGTATTTCTAGAGAGGGAATTGCAAGGGATTCCAAATTTGTCCTTATTTTTGACATAGTGTTTTAAAGAGTGATGGCCGTTGGATATGCACTTTGACCTTGAATTTGACCTTGTGGCACTCGTGACCAATCATGAAAAATTTAGCCCGACATGTTTTTACACAATATCAAAAAATTGGAGGTATAATATCTTTTGTAAGCCTGGAATATCAAGGCTAAAAACCACACATGAGGCTAAAAATCAGTGTCTTTGCACTTAAAGCAGGATTATGCTCATGGATAGGTTCTGGGGATACATAGTAACCTGCTGCAGACTTACCTGAAGATGGATAACTATGATTCAAACAGCAAGTCATCCTCTTTTAATTAGTCTGATCATAATTAGCATATTTTTATATTTTTCCCTCAGCTACTGGAAGTAAAACAGCAGCATATAATGTTGAAGTTCATGGAGACCCGAATTTAGATTTCGACCCAGAAAAAGAGGAAACGGAAATACAGTATTTTGTGAAATGGAAAAATTGGGCGAATATTCACAATACGTGGGAAACCGAGGCTTCATTGAGAGAACAAAAAGTCAATGGAATGAAAAAGATAGAAAATTTGAAAAAACGAGAAGAGGAACTGGCAGAATGGTAGGGAAAATATGTTCTAGGAATTTTAGGTTGTAACATTGCAGTTAAGTAATGTTACGAAGGCACAGGCACAGGCATACAGGCGTAACCTCTAAAAGGCTCTAGTGAGAGAGTATTGTTTTCTGCAGTTCTAGAGTTTCTTTGTATCAATATGCTCTCAGTGATCAGTCTTTTCATGACTGTCCATATCCTTTTACTGCCTGGCCGAGCCTAGGGGACTTGGCATCTTATTTCCAGATTGATTTTCTGAGCTTTCCATCCAGTTCCAAACTTACCTTAAGGAGATAAGATGTAAAACTCATTTCATTTCAACAAAATATGGGTTTCCAACTCTACGTGGAATTTTTCAAAATGATATTGAAATGTCTACGAATTGTAAATGATGCCGTCTTAAGAGTGTCTTTAATTGGATTATTATAGGATTAAAAACTATAGTTTAATTTCCACATTGCACGTCATAAATCTTGTGAGGGATTTTATATATGGACCTGAATTCTTTTGACAGTTTCAAACAAGCCCTGGATTAGACTGTAAGAAAAGTGTATAACTATGTTATATTGTAAAAATTTCAGGGCTCAACACGCGTCACCAGAGGATCAAGAGTACTATTATTGTCAACAGGAAATGATGTCAGACTTGGTCAAAAATTATAAAAAAGTAGAAAGAATTATTGGTAAGGTTAGCGTATTTTATAGTCTAGATTGAGGACTGTCCATCCTTATTGAATTTTTTTTTTTTAAATTAAAAAGCTTTGTTCTCTAAACCTCTGATTGAAAATATACTATCTGAAAATATCTGTTATCATGCATTGTTTGAGAGAGTCTTGTACATCCTTCAACGTAATAAGATTAATTGTTATTTCGGCCTTGCATTTCTCATACCAAACTTTTCATGTATAATTTACACTTGTATTTGTCTGTTTTGTCATATAAGGTAGTAACTTTGGACTATGATTATGAGTACTTAATGGTTAAAAATCAGTATTTTGTCAATTATTTTATTCCTTTAAACAAAATAACAGATTTTCAAAGGAAATATCAACAGCTAATTTCTGGGATTTTAAACAATTTTAAATTTTATTTCAGCTGTTTCTCAACAAAAATCATCCACTGATCAGAATGGCTTCCCTGATTATTTATGTAAATGGGCGGGGCTACCGTATTCCGAGTGTACCTGGGAGGACGGAGAGTTAATATCCCGCCATTTTCAGAGTTTTATAGATGAGTTCTGTGCTCGAACAAAATCCCAGAGTATTCCCACCAAGCTTAGCAGGGTGAGTTGTTTGGTTTTGATACATTTTCTAAATTTTTTTTTTAGAATTAACTTACCATTATGGTCTTTATCAGTCCAATAAACATAAAACATTATTTCATTTGAATAAGATATATAACAACAGGATATAAAACTCAATTTCATCAATTTAACGAAAATGTTAAGTGGCAAAACTCCCAATTAATTTCAAACTTTATAAAAAATTATTTAATTTCATCCTGAATTTTACAGGTGTTGAAAGTCCGTCCTAAATTTGTCTCTATGAAGAACCAGCCTGAATATCTTGGTGGTAACAATGCATTAACCCTGCGTGATTATCAATTAGAGGGGGTTAACTGGATGATACATGCGTGGACCAAGTAAGTTTAACCCTAATAAAACATTTGAATTTCCTCCATTGTATACTTCATGGCCCTCACCTGAATGTCTTGGTGGTAACAATGCATTAACCCTGCATGATTATCTCTAAGAGGAGGTTAACTGGATGATAAAAGTTTTAAATCACTTGCCTGTTTCCCCTGTTTTTCTGATATGTTAAATGTGTCCATTCGCTTCTGGACAGTGAATATTTTCTACAAGCTGTGCATGTTACAGTTGACAGTCCTGGCCAATTTTTACTCATTTAGCACTGCATGGTGTTACTTGTCCAAATTTGCTGAATGGATAGAAAACCTGTGATGACCAAAGCCAATTAATATAAAATGATTTTGCAATGATAGGACTGAGGTTTTCTTACAAATATCAGAATTAAATACCAATTGCAAAATGACAAAACAGCAAGATTGGCTGGAAAAGCTATGGTGAAAAATTTAAAAAATGTTTATCACTGTCATAACATGCATGTTTTTTTAAGTCCAATATCCACATAAATATATGATAAACAGTAGAAAACCTATGATGACCAAAGCCAATTGATATAAAATGATTTTGCAATGATAGGACTGAGGTTTTCAATCTTGTTGAAGAATCTTAGGGGTCAGTCTTGTACAGTATTTTATACAAATAAATGCTATTAGATAATAAGTTATAAAAAGCCAGAAAACCTGTGATGACCAAAGCCAATTGATTTATAGAATGATTTTGCAATGATAGGACTGAGGTTTTCTTGTCATTAAAGAAAAAAAACCCCAAAAATCTTGGTTTGCTATTGTCTTATAAAAAGACAAGCTGAGAGCCCTTGGGTCCAAATATGCAAAGGGCACGTTTCAGAAAAACAGTAGAAAACCTATGATGACCAAAGCCAATTGAAATAGAATGATTTTGCAATGATAGGACTGAGGTTTTCTTACAATTAACTTTGTACAAATAGCTAACCACTGTTTAAATAAATTAAGATATTTAACTTGCATTTCAACTCAAAGGCACAGGCTAGAAATGGCTCGGTAATAATATGAGCTAAAAGAGATTAACATTTAGTGACAGACGGAAATGTCAATAAGTGCACTGTGTTTGGTTCAGTATTAGAACGGTAGAAAATAATGAAAATTAATCTTGTCCTGGTCTGTACCTTGTGTATTTGGTTGTAATATTTTCTACTGTACACAGTTTAATTCTTCTTCTCTCAGCTTGGACCTTAATTTCTAATAAACTTTAACCTTTTCAGAGAGAACAGTGTGATATTGGCTGATGAAATGGGTTTAGGTAAAACCATCCAGATTATTAGCTTCCTGTCTGTATTATTTAACCAGTTCCAACTCTATGGACCGTTCTTACTGGTGGTACCACTGTCTACTATCGTCGCCTGGCAACGAGAATTCCAGAACTGGGCGCCAGAAATGAATGTTATTATATATATTGGAGATGTTTCTAGTCGGAACTTTGTAAGTTGACTTCTTACTACAGCTATTGTCAAGTTTTTCTCAATTTAACGTAATAGTTTGAATTGAAGTCATCACCACGTTGAAAAAATCATGTGCTGGTGTTATAGACATTTCAATGTCAAAACAGAAAGTTGAATATGCCCTGGAAGTGATGAAAGTCTGATTGGCTGTGGTAAGTTTAATGTTGTGGGAAAATTGCTCATAAATAACTAAATATTTGATGCTTATCGGAGTCAAATATGTAGATAACCTTAGCCCTTAAATTGTTATAGATGATTTTGTAATTCTGGTTATTAATTTAATTTAGTAGATATTTCTGATAATAAATTATATTTTTATAGATACGAGATTATGAATGGTGTCACCCCGGTAATAAAAGGTTAAAGTTTAATGTTATTGTTACAACTTATGAAATATTGTTAAAGGATAAGGTAAGTCTAGTTTACTGCCTTCTTTAACTCAATAGCGGAGAATTTCACTCAGGGATAGTAGCTGTATTATATTTGTCTCAGATTTCTGATAGAACTCAGATGTTTTAATGTAAGAATTGAGAACAAGTAAAGGGATCTATTTTGTGAAAGCAAATTATGAGATGACTCCTTGTGTTTGAGGCTTATAGTTCGTAATACCATCATGCCATTATAGAAAATCTTAGATATTTCCAGAGATATTTTAATGAAAGTGGATCCATTTTATCATAGGAATTAAATTTGTTAATTGTTTTAATGGTTTCCTAGAAAATTGGACACCTACCTGCTTACATCCATGGCTAAGGTCAAAATGATACCTTTGAATTATCTATCCAGTTTCCCTCAGTCAGTAATGTGGATGGTGACAAAATTCTTTTTATTGCACAATTATTGGTGTTACTCATTTTAGCCAGATTAAAAATGGAATTTAAAACTTCATTTCAATTCTATTTCCAGTCGTTTTTAGGAAGTATTAGTTGGGCGTTTTTGGGAGTGGATGAAGCTCATCGGTTAAAGAATGATGATTCGTTGTTATACCGGTCGTTAAAAGATTTTAATACGAATCATCGTATATTAATAACTGGTACACCCTTACAGAATTCACTGAAAGAGTTATGGTGCTTGCTTCATTTTATCATGCCTGACAAGTAAGTTTTGGTTTCTTTTGTCACTTCACTTTTGGTAGCTGTGTTGGCTCTGTGAGTTAAACACTTGCTAGCTAACCTGAAGGTCCAGAACTCAATCCTAGCAGAGCTTGACATATTACTTTCAGATTTTTCAACCCGGTTTCCTCCTGGGTCATGTCAGTCATGCAGGACAGAAGAGATAAAGTTCACATTACTATTATGGTAGTTAATGCAGGGCATGCTCACTCTTGTGGAACAACTGTTTCCACTCTGCTGGGAGTCCACATAACTAATGCAGTTCTTGATATTGTTTTCTATTCATCATATTCCCCAAGTTATCGAACGGGACAACTGTCCGTCTTCTTTGGTCAAATTAGGTGCAGAAAAGTCAGAAGTAAAACTCTCATTCATTTAAAGATCTTCTGCTATTTTAGATTTGATGATTGGTCTGATTTTGAAGAGAGACATTCCACGGCTGATAGTTCAGGTTTTGCAGCATTACATAAAGAATTAGAGCCCTATTTAATCAGGAGAGTGAAGAAAGATGTAGAAAAATCTCTACCTTCAAAAGTAAGTTGTTATTTGTTGAATCATTTTTGACATTTCCCAAGTATTATGGAATAGGAAATGTTGAAGACTACTCCATTTTTCACATTCCATATATTGCTATCGCCCTTTTGTCTGTTAATACATCTCACCTCTCACGTCTCAATTATACAAACAATAAATAAATTTTCCATATAGGATTCAGACAACAAATTCTTCAAACTTGTCAACTGAAACCATATTTCCAATATTTGTTGTGCATTGAAATTTCTGGAATGTATTTCGTTAAATTACAAACTTCATTTATTTTTCAGGTTGAACAAATACTCAGGGTTGAAATGTCTTCATTACAAAAACAGTATTATAAGTAAGTAATAGCTAGTATTATAAGTCTATACTAGCAAGACAATCCATCAATTAAATATCTTGTCCAAAGAATGGCAAAAAGTAAAAGTTGTGGACTTCTCCAGAGAGAAGAGGTGTACCATGCTGCTATACATAGTTTAGATATTTGAGAATTAACATGCAGAGATAGTGACATGGGCAAGGCTTCAAATAGGAGCAATTTATTGTGCTAAAATCATCTAATATAGATTTATCAATAAGTGGTATCTAACAGTGGATATAGATCTGTTACAGCATGAAGCAACTAGACAAACTCTTTATTATTTTAGATGGATATTGACCAAGAATTATAAGGCACTGAATAAAGGTGTTAAAGGAAATATCAGCAGTCTGTGTAATATTGTCATGGAATTAAAGAAATGTTGCAATCATTCAGAATTGATACGAATGCCAGAATCAGAGGAAGAACGGTTGCAGGTGAGAAGGTCTTTTTAATTCAAAGATAAAAACGCAAACAAAATTGGGAATTGCCAAAGGAAGCCAGGGGTAGCTCAATGACTCAGACGCTCGTTCTCTAACCTGAAAGTCCGGGATTCCATCGCTGCTTTTACCCCCCTAGTATCTGTGATTCTGATTCATGTTCATATTAAGACAATAAACAGATGCTTCAGGTGCTACAAAATGTTTTTGTTAAAGATCCCGTAACAATTAAAAACTGAAATAGCTATATCTTATGCTTTCACCAAGTTCTTATTGAACTATTTTCCACTTTTTTTCCTCAGTGCTCACTATGTTATCCTTGTAAACTTATTGATTCATATTAAACGACTATGTCAAATTCCATTTATTTTTATTTCAGACTATAATAAGAGGGAGTGGTAAATTATTATTGTTGGATAAACTTTTACGACGTTTGCGAGATACTGGGCATCGTGTGTTAATATTTTCTCAGATGGTTCGAATGTTAGATTTGTTAGCTGAATACCTTCGATTACGGCATTTTACATACCAGGTACGTGGCATTGTCAAAAACCTGGATTGTTGATCATTGATTTAAATCTCATGACTGAATGTTAACAGACTTTTGTCTGTGATACAAAAACGGGCGCTATTGGTATAAGAGTTTATAGTAGCTTGACACTGAAGATGAAGTTTGTAATAGCTTGACCATTGTGAAGATGGGTAAGGGCAAGGAGAGGTGTTAAGGCATGTAATCCCTTAACCTATCAATAATTAAAATATATATTTATTTGGTATATTTGTAGAGGTTAGATGGAGGTATACGTGGTGAAATGAGAAAACAAGCTTTAGATCATTTCAACGCTGAAGGTTCCCAGGTTAGTTCCTTACTTTTCTTACTTCATTAGCATATTTCTTACTTCATTAACATATTTCCAACTTCATTAGCATATTGCTTACTTCATTAGCATATTTTTTTTTAGATCAGTCTGGCTTTAATTAGGTTAGGTGGCCTTCTGATTCCTGAAAGGGGCATGAGCCATTTTTGGGCTTTTTCATATCCATTTGATTCACTTAATCTCATTGACTAAGATCCTGTCTGAAAATCGATTGACCAATCAAAGGATGTTTATCATGATTACAACATGCAAAAAAGTCAAGATGTGATGAAATCTTTACATGATGTCTGGACCGTCTGAAAACTACATGATGGATTCCATTTTCTGATCTTGATACTGCTTTGCTTCTGCATATGTTCATTTGTTCACCTTTCCAAATGAATTCACTTTGACTTTCAAATCAACTGATTTTGATATAATTTTTTATGTGCAAAGTGCCACAACTTTTAAGAAGAGGTATATAAAAGCTGGTTAACAAATATGATAACCACTGACTTCAGTTGATATTTTGAATGTAAATTTTTCAGGATTTTTGTTTCCTTTTATCAACACGAGCAGGAGGATTGGGTGTGAATCTGGCTACAGCTGATACGGTTATTATCTTTGACTCGGATTGGAATCCACAAAATGATCTCCAAGCTCAGGCCAGAGCGCATAGAATCGGCCAGAAAAATCAGGTACAGAAAGTGTTGATTGTTTATTTTATAGACTGAAGATGTCGTTACTTTTCAAAACTTAACAATAAAAATCTTATATGGCCAATATTCTATTTAACTCTATATGGCAATGAATAACCTTTTTTCTGTTCTGTGATGTTGTTATTCGTAACCACACTGATTCTTATTGATGGAAATTTTGAAATATATCATTTTATAGTGGTATATAAAATCGCTGTTAGTAAAGTTAATTTTATAGGCTTTCTTACTTCATTTGGAACCATGTTATAAGATGTAATAAATAAATCCAAGTACTAACACAAAACGAAACCTGAAATCCAAAACAACATAATGGCAAAACATTGGTAGCAGCTAGCAACTTTTTACATAAGGACGTATATCAATATGATATATTGTAGGTCAGTGTGTACAGGCTGGTTACCAAGAGCAGTGTAGAGGAAAACATCATAGAACGAGCCAAGAAAAAAATGGTGTTAGATCATTTGGTGATACAACGGATGGACACAACTGGTCGAACTGTTTTAAACAGAGGCAATGCTCCTTCCAGGTAGGTTTTCAACTTATTTTAATGTTTAGGTGGTTAAGCACTGCCCGAAGCATAATAATTTTTTTTCTTGTTGAGATTCAGCAGCATCAAGTCATCGAGCAGACGGCAATCCTATCGATCGACTGAATTATAGGCTAGGGTTAAATCAATCTAAATATCTGTAATATATTAGAGAATGTGATGAAATTTATAGAAAATGATGTCTGGACCTCTGATAATTACTTGATGTTTTCTTTAGTCTGATTCTCTTCTATAACAGTATGTTTGTTAGTGGGGGTCTACTGTCCTAGTCTCTAATAGTAGGTTCTTATTATGGTATATGTTGGTGGGAGATATATTCCAGTCTCTAGTTGTAGGTTTGATGGGTGAGGGGAGATAAGTAGTAAAATAAGAGAATATGATGAAATTTATAGAAAATGATGTCTGGACCTCTGATAATTACTTGATGTTTTCTTTAGTCTGATTCTCTTTTATCCCAATTGAATTTTTTTCCCCCTGTCGGTGATGCCTGTACCTCTGGGGACACAAACTGAAACCCCATCAGATAAAGGCTATTCAAATTATGAATGATGATTATTAGAAAGGTGGAATTCTCCAATGCTGTTTACCTTTCAAATTTCCCCTCATTGCATACTGCATGTCATTGCATCTTCAATAGCTCATTCTCAAGCAGAAAAGTAGGTTTAAGAGCTTTTATTTTATTTCGTTAATTTCAGCTCGAGCTCTACACCTTTTAACAAGGAGGAGCTGGCATCCATATTGAAATTTGGTGCTGAAGAATTATTTAAAGAAAATGATGGTGATGAAGAAGAACCACAGGTAAGGTTGTTTTTGAAATTCTTTGTGGCTGGTGGTCCCACTCATCAAATAACTGTGTAGAATTTCCAGACTAATATTGAGCCAGTTGATAGTTATCCAGATTATAAGGTCATGAGTTCTTTAATTTTGAGTGGAAAACTAGATCCATTTATCTGAATGATAGTAACAGGCGATTTATCACTGCATTCAGATAATCAAATCATTATTCTATTTATTTGGGTACTTTGTATTTACAATACATAATGAGTTATGTTTCTTTTAACAAGACCCAGACGAAAATCATCATGTATCACTCGAGCGTAAACCAAATGAGGTAACTTACTGAACAAGATGTTCATCAATTATCTTATATATGTTAATATATCTGCAGGTAGATATTGATGAGATATTAAACCGTGCTGAGTTAAGTGAAACGGTCGCCACGTCTGTCGGAGATGAATTATTGTCCCAATTTAAAGTCGTCAGTTTTGACAATATGGAGAATGAAGAAATTGAAAGTACAGGTAGGATTTTTATCATTTAATTTATCAACTGATTGTAAAACTAACTAACTATAACATCTTAGGTTTGTAAAACAGGTTCTGGCTTCAAATGGAGGGGTTATTCAGCTTGTTGATTGACAATTTTGATGCATGGATATTCTTCAGTTTTCTATGTAAAAGTTAGAAGTAAAATAACGATCCAAATAACCATCTAACTTACTCGGAACCTGACTCTTGCTGTTATTCTTAATGAATAAGGATCCCTTTAAACAAAAAACTTAGCCTGTTCCCATAGAACGGAATGTGGGTTAGGTATTGAAATATTTCTTAAACATCTTTTTAGCAGGTGGTCGAGACTGGGACCAAATCATCCCTGAAAATTCCAGGAAAAAAGCAGAAGATGAAGAAAAACAGAAACAGTTGTTAGAATTACATCTTCCACCACGTAGTAGAAAAACAATACAACAGGTTAGTGGGTGGGCTTCTTTAATGGGGAAGGAGTTAATAATTTCAAATTTCACAACATGGTTACCTATTATCAGTAATAGAAGGGGCTGACATGGCACAAGGGTATAGGTGATCAGATGGGACAATAAAGCGAGGCCCTGTCTGCATGTCGAGGATTATTCCTCGACCGTTGAAAATGGAAAAGAGCAGGCTAATGCTGCTGTCCTGAGGTAATATTAAAAGAGAAAGTGATGATAGTTATAGAAAATGATGTCTGGACCTCTGATAATTACTTGATGTTTTCTCTACTCTGATTCTCTTTTCATTAAAATATCTAAAAAGTCTAGAAAATTGGCCTTAAAATGTCAAGAATGCAAAAAATATAAAATGGAGTTACGGTCACTGTCTTAAACATAAATATGCACGCCTTTCGTTTTATGAATATTCATCAAATGACCATAGTTTTTACCTCAAATTTTGTCAATTTTAGTTAAACCTAGAAGATTCCGATGGAGGGAAATCTCGGAAGAAGAGGAAAGACGATGATTCTGAACAGAGTGATGATGATGAAGATGAGGATGACAAACCTAAAAAACGAGGCCGGGTCTCGAGAGATAAATTTAAAGGTTTCACTGATCAGGAGATGAGAAGATTTATCAAAAGTTATAAAAAATTCTCCTGTCCAATGAAAAGGTATGTAGTTCAATATTTCAGCTTCTCATCCAGGGCTGACACATTTCAAATGCTGCGTCTGCTCATGTGTAAGACGGGTTGTGTTCTTTTTAAAATTGTGTTTGAGAACAAACTATGAAAGAGACAAACACGTCAAAACTATCTCTAAATCTCTAAATGAAAATAAAGCCAGGTAACAACTAACAATTAGTGAGAAAATCTAAAAATGACTGAAAACCTAACATTTTCTGTTCTTTATTAACACGTTTTGAATATTATTCAAGACAGTGGTTGCAATTTACCTCGTCAGGGAAGATTCCAATTTTGTCTAAAAAAGAAAAAAGGGTCAGTTGTCCTGAAAAGAAACTTAAAATGAGTCTGAGTATCTCTAGTGGAAAGATCTGGTTATTTTGGCAAGGAAAGGGGGTAAAAGAGAAAGTGATGATAGTTATAGAAAATGATGTCTGGACCTCTGATAATTACTTGATGTTTTCTTTGCTCTGATTCTCTTTTATCTCAGTATGTTGGTGGGGTCTTTAATAGTAAGATCATGGTATGGGGGGAGGGGAGGGTGGAGTTGGTGGTAATATTATTATTCAATTTGGTTGGCAACAAATAAGAGAATGTGATGATAGTTATAGAAAATGATGTCTGGACCTCTGACAATAATTTGATGTTTTCTCAAATCTGATTCTCGTTTTCCATGATATATTTAGATGTGATACAGTGGGAAATTGGTGAACTTCCAGGATAAATATGTCTATTGTTTCTGTATTTCTAGGTTAGATGCCATTGCCTGTGATGCTGAGTTGATGGAGAAGTCAGAAACAGAATTATTACGATTTGCTCAAATGTTGAAATCTTGTTGTGAAGATGCCATGGAAGATTATAAATCTAAAATGGCTGAAGACCAAAGTGAGGGTGAGTGAAGTTTTATTATTTTAGATTAGTTTCAAATTAATGAAGTTAAGGGTTATGAAGGTGTCTGAAGACATGCATTGTAGGCAATGAATAATTTTACCCAAAAATTTGTCAACCTAGATTGAACCCTGGTTGAATTAATTTGAATGTTAAAAAAAATTTATTGAAAAAATCACAAATGACTGCTGGACAATAAGGTTTAGTTAGATATAAAAAACCAAAATATTTTTACACATCTGGGTTAGATTTAAAAGATAAACACGAGGCAAGATAAGTATGTACAGTTGGAACAATTTTTGCGCATTTTGGCCAATACATAAACAGGACCAGGAGACCTGTCGACTTTATGTTTTAAATAGTGTAGGAATAAATCAAGCTTGATTAGTTAAAATTACTATTTAATCTACCCAAATATAAAGTGAACTGCTGGTGTTAATGTTTAAATCAGACCAGGACACGACTATATAATTGGGGAACTCTGGTTTTCAGAAGGGAAAGATCAAGAAATGATGAAATCTTTACATGATGTCTGGACCGTCTGAAAACTACATGATGGATTCCATTTTCTGATCTTGATCTGTATTTTTATCAATCCCCCCAAAAAATGATAAACCTTTTTTTAAAAGCAAAAAAGTTGTTCAGTATGTCTTGAGGAAACTGTACTAAGATCTCTGTATGTGTATCAGGGACATTGATAGCATTGGTTTGCTCCATTGCGATTTTCTATCAGACTTTTGCATGTCACTAAACCAACTTTTGTTAAGGCCCTTAGAGAAGCCGCTTTCGAGATAGCTATGTCATAAAACGCCCAGTGTCTGTGGATTTGCAAGGACCACAGACGTCTGACTGAAAAAGAGAGTGGTTCAAACTGATGCTATCAGTGTCCCTGATACATCTTATAAATTTAGAAAAACAATCCCTTTAACTTGATTTTGATTTGTATTGTGTTTTATTTATAGGTAAGAAATCATCACGAGGACCAACAGTAAAACTCTCCAGTGTTACCGTCAACGCTCAATCTGTTTTAAAAGCAGAACAAGATCTCGAACCATTAGCTGATTTTATACCCGAGGATAAGGAGAAGAGAAAAAAGTAAGTTTTAATCTTAATCACAGAACTTTGCATTTTGGGGAGATAATTTTGGCCTAATGTATAATGATCTTCAGAAAGAGGCCTACTAGAACCTAGAACTGTACGAAATATAGAATAATTCCTTCAAAAATACCATAAACTTAAACAACAACAATGTAACTTACAAACTCAGATAATTATTGATTAAAATAATTGAATTTTAATGGCAAGCTGTGAACACGTACATCATATTGGTTATTAGATAAATTCAGAGCAGGGTTAAATTTAAAAAGTTAAAAAAAACTAAGCTCTTTGACAAATTAACAATTATTTGGACACCTTTAAAACTTTGTATAAATTTTGATCACCAATGATTCCTGATATTAACGCCCCAAGTTTATAACAATGTATCTTTTGCAATGTTTCAGTCTGGAGTTAGATTGTCACGTTAAAATGGTACACTGGGATTGTCCGTGGGATAAAGAAGAAGACGTTAATTTATTAAAAGGTTGTTACGAGTATGGTGTCGGTAACTGGGAAGCCATCAAAATGGATAAAGATTTACACCTGGAATTAAAAGTAAGTTGAAATATTTAATTCAGACTTATTTAGGGAAAGGGGTCGCAAGTTACCAGCAATCGATTAATGAGCAGACTACACATGAATATATAAAGATATAAATTTCATTTATATAACTTATAAGTTGTAAAATTCCATTTCAGATTTTACCTGATGGTGAACACAAACCACAATCGAAACATCTCCAAACACGAGTTGATTATCTTCTTAAAGTTATACGTAAAAATTCTCAGTCTTCCGTACCAGCTAAGGAATCCAAACCAGTAAGTAGGACATTTTTATTTGATCAGACCTAGAACTATTCCATCTTTCTACTGTGTTTCACAGAAGCAGCAGAGATGTGAGACTTCAGGAAATTTCGGAAATGCTAGAAATGGGCTGCAAATTCATTTCTTATATGGATAAGAAGCGCAAAACACTTCGCTGCCCAAAAGTTGCGGAAATGAATTCAATGGCCACTTACATTTTTTAAGGAACTGAAGTAATTTCTGAAATCAGATGATTTCATACAAACCATTCCAAACTCTTCCAATTAGCCATTTTGTTTGTTCTCTAGATTTGTACACATATTTGAGAATGGGAATGAAAAAGTCATTTTGTTTGTTTAGAATTTAAAACCTTTGTTTGTTTTTAAAACCTTTTTCAAACATTGTTGTAATGATGTATATAAAATCGTTACCAATATTTATATATTGTCATGGTATTTATCTTCCAGTCGAAAGCTAAAACACCAAAGTCTGTAAAGAAAGGAAAGAAAGTGAAGTCTGCTGAAGTTGTAAAAGATGACATCAGTAGTTCTGATGATAATATAATACGTGAAGACACTAACGATAGTTTCCCTGCCAGCCCCAAAAAACATCGGAAAGCTGATCACGACGAGGAGACGGAAGACACGGGTAAAAAAGAGAAGAAGAAAAAGGCAAAGAAAGATAAAAATAAGGACAAGAATAAAGATAAAGAAAATAAAAAGGTATTGTCAAATTATTTACACAAGTCTGTTGGGAAATACAAGAGAATATGATGACAGTTATAGAAAATGATGTCTGGACCTCTGATAATTACTTGATGTTTTCTTTAGTCTGATTCTATTTTTCCATGATATATTATCTTTGAATATGTTGGTGGGGGATACATTCCAGTCTCTAGATGTAGGTTTGATGGGTGAGGGGAGATAAGTAGTAAAATAAGAGAATATGATGAAATTTATAGAAAATGATGTCTGGACCTCTGATAATTACTTGATGTTTTCTTTAGTCTGATTCTCTTTTCATTTGTTCAGGTGTTTCAATACATTACTAAATTCTATTCTGTTTTTGTCTTTACAACCACTCACATGACTTTGCCCAGTGCCCAAACCTAGGAATTATATCTGCTTATTGACTTAATATGATGAATTTTAGATGACCATTTTGTTTCTGTTTATTTTAGTCCGGAGATGGTCCAAAACATTTCACTGCCTCATCAGAACCAATCAATATCTCTGAGGAAGGAGAGATGCCGGCAGATTTAACACAGGAGATATTTAGCCAGGTAGATAATTATTTGATAATGATAAGAATAATAAACTTTAAATGCTTTCCTGTGCACCTTTAACAAACAAATAGACAAGTAGGTGAAGCGAATGATTCTATTTTCAACTGTATTTTTACCCTGAACATATACCATGTTAGTTATTCAGATGGGACAATAAAATGAGGCACTGTGTGCTACAGGCTTTGAACGGGACAGTGAGAAATCTGTAAAGAGTTGTCTGCAGTTGTCCTGGAAAAATTTCCTTCATTGCATTTCTTTATCTTCATAATCCCTATCAGATACAGTAACATAGAACATAAAACATTTCATTTTGATTTTAAAGTTTTATGTATTTTATTAAATTTGCAGTGTAAAGAGAAAATGAGGCCTGTAAAAAAAGCGTTGAAACAGCTGGACAATCCAGAAGAAGGTTTAACAGAGAAAGAGCAGTTAAATCACATGAAATCCTGTTTATTAAAGATTGGTGACAGAATATCCGAATGTCTGGAGAGGATTAGTGATCAGGAGCGAGCCAGGTTGTGGAGGAAGTAAGTTTTCAATTTGTATTGTGGATTTAATATAATGCTCAAAAAATTATCCGCAGCTTGGGTGTCTTGAAAATATTTTCACCTCTGAATATTCTATTTGTTTTTCAACCCGGTTTCCTCCTGACGTTGGAAAAGCATTTTGTTGTTTGTTGTCTAGTTGTACCCTTGGGACAATAAACCAAGATCCCATGGGCTACAGACTGTTCACTTTGATCCCTCGACAATTGAAATTCAAAAATAGGCTATTGTGGTTTAAAACTCAATTCATTTTATTTTTTCATTCTATTTCATTGAAAAAATTATGTCGAAGCTTACAAACTATTGAAATATTACTTTCAGTTATTTATGGTTGTTTGTGTCAAGGTTTACAGAATTAGAGGCCAACAAACTTCATAAACTATACAGATCTGCAGTTAAAAAACGTATTAAAAGCAAAGAAAAGGTTAGTAGAGTCTAAGTTGAATTTTACCCACGTCCAAAACGGACATAAATATAAATATTGGGTCACTTAAAATAGTTCTGAACACATTCAAAGACTGGCTTGTTTAGTTTTGACTAATCAAGACTGAATGTCTAACATGCTGACACCCTACATTCTGTACTCTCTGAATGAATAAGAAAGTGCTTCAAGTAAATTTTTCAATTTTCAGTCTAAAGCTGAAGCACCTGCTCCTACACCCAATGAAAGTCATTCCAGTAAAAAGTCCAAAAAACGTCCATTAGAGAAGTCTGGTGATTCAGGGAAGAAAGAAAATAAAAAAGAAAATAAAAAACATCATCACCCTGATCATTCAGATAAACATAAAGAAAGGTAGGTCTAATCTGTTCAAGATTAAAGAGTTTGTAAAGTTTTCTGAAATTTGTATTTCAGGGAAACTGAGAGTATCAATCTGCATCATTCAAATTTTCAATCAGACGTCTGTGCTTCTTGCAAGTCCACTGAAACTAAGTGTTTTATAATGTAGTTGAATTAAGAACCATAGAACATGGAAGTGATTGTAAAGAGGTTTTCTTAAAATTGAATGTGTATCAGGGACACTGATAGTATCAATTTGCACCATCAGTGGGACATTTGTGGCTTTTATAATTTCAATCAGACTTCAGACAAAGTGCAAGTCAATATTTTAGTGTCTGTGATACACAGGGAAGGGATGAGTGGTAATAATAAAAGAGAATATGATGATAGTTATAGAAAATGATGTCTGGACCTCTGATAATTACTTGATGTTTTCTCTACTCTGATTCTCTTTTGCTCCAAAAAAGTTAAATATGCCAGTTTTAGATTGTAAAAGAATAGGCTGATGCCACTAAATTTCCCTTATATCACACTTCATAGAGATGAACATGTTCATTTGTCTGATCAGTAAAGTAGAATATAAAACTCTATTTCATTTCATTAGTCCAATCAACTGAAGAAAAAATAGGATCTAAAACTCCAATTTATTTCAGTGATGAACAATATTTTATCCAAATATGAGTAAGATGTGAAATTCCAATTTATTTCAGTGATGAACAATATTTTATCCAAATATGAGTAAGATGTGAAATTCCAATTTATTTCAGTGATGAACAATATTTTATCCAAATATGAGTAAGATGTGAAATTCCAATTTATTTCAGTGATGAACAATATTTTATCCAAATATGAGTAAGATGTGAAATTCCAATTTATTTCAGTGATGAACAATATTTTATCCAAATATGAGTAAGATGTGAAATTCCAATTTATTTCAGTGATGAACAATATTTTATCCAAATATGAGTAAGATGTGAAATTCCAATTTATTTCAGTGATGAACAATATTTTATCCAAATATGAGTAAGATGTGAAATTCCAATTTATTTCAGTGATGAACAATATTTTATCCAAATATGAGTAAGATGTGAAATTCCAATTTATTTCAGTGATGAACAATATTTTATCCAAATATGAGTAAGATGTGAAATTCCAATTTATTTCAGTGATGAACAATATTTTATCCAAATATGAGTAAGATGTGAAATTCCAATTCATTTCAGTGATGAACAATATTTTATCCAAATATGAGTAAGATGTGAAATTCCAATTTATTTCAGTGCTAATGGTCAGAAAGCATCTCAAAGCAGCAGTCACTCTTCATCATTCCATAATACGTCTAGTCGTGATTCCATTCATCATGAAAATAGTAATAGTTCCAGTCCAGTGGAACGATGGCAGCTTACTAGTCCTCTAGCTAGATCTGAGGAACCTCCACGTAGCAGGTACGTAAATCATTTCTTTAACTCGTAATCCAGTGTGTGAACAAAATAAAATATCATATACTCAATATATATGACTTAAAACATACAAAATGAAAGTTATTTAACATCACTTGGAAACTTGACTGTTCAAGTATATACCAAGTAATTTTATGGCCTGTAGGAGGGTTGCTAGTTGAACATAATGATTTGTGTAACAATTGATTTTGCTGCATTTGCAAGCTTGTCAAAGTAAAGCTTCTTTGTGTGGTACAATCTAGGTCACGTACTACAAATTTAACATGGCCAGTTTGTACAAGTCATATATTGTGTGTCTATTTATAGGTATGATGGAGGTTCTGGTGGATCATACGGTAGAAAACATTATGATTCTCATCGTTCTCATCATAGTGGTTCAGATTCGTATAACAGGTTGGTTCTTAAACTCTCTTGGTTATTATTACAGCTTTCATCAATAAATGGCGGTGTTCAATTTGACTAGGCTATTACTGGAAGTGCAGCAACAGGGAAAATGATCAATGACTATAAAAGGAATTGTTTGTGTAGTAGTGATGCATTGAATTTCAAGACAAACTCAACCTGCTTTTGATGTCAGATTTTTTCTTTTCTGTTATATTCTCTAGCAGATTATTTCAACTGCTCATCAAATTTTGTGTCAGGATTCTTTATTTCCAGTCAAGTTTGTTTCACCGAAGATAAAATTGCAAAAATTATTTTTGAATTTCAGAAACAATAATTATAGTCGACAACATCATAGTAAAAGTAGTTATTATAATCGTCATGAACAACGGGGAGATAGTTATCAACGTTCTCGTACAGATACATCTCACCATGGTGACCAATATAGAGGTGAACAATATCGTCATGACAACTGGTCTGAGTATAACAGTGGAGGGGGTGGGGCTCATTATCGAGACCAGGGAGTGTATTACCCCCGACAATCTGAAGACTGGAACAACAGGTAATTTTCTTTTTAAAACATGCGAACTCAAGTACTTACGAATATTTACTTTATTGGGAACTAAATTTTGTGGATTTGAATGAGGATCAATGGTTGTTTGGTAGATGACAAGGTAACGTTCGCTTCCAGAAGATGCTGATATTGCAGACTGGGTGGTAGTTGGATTGGTTCAAATTGGAACAATGGATAAGACTTCAGTCGATAATTGTTTATTCTTATTTTCACACCTAGATATATTTCTTTTCCAGTGCATCTTCAGATCGTGAACGAAAACGGAAAGGAGGTGATGAACATAGTGATCCACGACGATCTTCTAAAGATCCGCGATTAGAATTTAGCAGACAGCAAACTAGTCCCACGTAGCGTCTTGCCGTCAAACATTAATAAAACCAACTTGTTGTGATGTTCACAAGTGGCCTAGACGCTGGGGTAAAGAGAAATGATCAGTGAGTCTATGGGTTGGAACTGTGATGGTTTTATTCTCGAGTGGCCTTGTTGTGGGGCTAAAGAAGAATTATCACTGAGCCTACTAATTGGAAATTGAGATGCTATTTTTCATGAGCGACCTGTTCATTTAAGTGAAGAACTCTGATACAAGAATACAAGTCGTAGTATAACCCCAGGAGAAAAATGGTGAGTGTCATTGATTGACATGTCAAATTGGGTTGAGGGAGTCTAGGAATGAGTTTCAGTATTGCTGGATAACTAAGGTTTAGTGTGGATCTGATCAATGATCACTTGATAAATGGAATTGTTTGATGGGCAGTATTGTTGCAAACTGGAAATAGAAAATTGTGATAAGTGTCATCTTTGAATTCAATATGTTTTGTCAAAGAAATAAGACATGGGAAGGTCACAGATATTGATTTTGTATTGCCAATGATAGTTGATCTATTTTTGATGGAGAGGGTGTGGAACTAGTTTTCATGTCGACATGGTTAAATGTGATAATTTGGATTGGGGCGAAACTCAATTTTAGATCGAGATAATGTTTATTATATGATGTTAAGTTTCAAACTGTGATACTGACTTCTTTATTACCATAGAAACTGGATGTTCTCTATTACCATAGAAACTGGATGTTCTTTACTACTATAGAAACTGGATGTTCGTTACTACCATAGAAACTGGATGCTCTTTACTACTATAGAAACTGGATGTTCTCTATTACCATAGCAACTGGATGTTCTCTATTACCATAGAAACTGAATGTTCTTTACTACTATAGAAACTGGATGTTCTCTATTACCATAGAAACTGAATGTTCTTTACTACTATAGAAACTGGATGTTCTCTATTACCATAGAAACTGGATAACAACATCCAATGTTCAAAGTAGTAGTGCCAACGAACAGAGTGGTTGTGCCACCAATATGGCAAAATTTTCAATTTAAGGGTTCTGCAATTACTGAAATCTCCAGCATGTGAAATGGAATTATGTTACTCAATGATGCTGCTGGGCAGAAGTTTTGGAAAGTTGCGACATTTGAAAATCTTGAAGATTTGTGCATTTCAGCCTTGACAAGGTATTGACTGATCAATATCATCCGTAAGTTTTGGTTTGAGACCAAAAATTAAAGAATATGGAAGAAGAAAATGGAATTGAATTGAGCGAACTTGTGTTTCAAATATAAAGCTTGTTTCCAGAACAGCTGGAATTGTTCAGACTGCATTCTTTTGACATTATGACGCTTGGATTGTATTTATTTTCAAGCAAATATACATGAACATACAGGTCCTATTTAAATCATTGACAGGGAAAGTCTATTTTATTTAGGGTTAGTTTGATAAAGAATCCACTGAAGTTTGCCTTCATGGACAATGTATTTCACCTCAAAGTAAAATAGACTGGTCTTATTAATGATTTAATATCCCCTGTATGTGTACTGATAAATTTGTTGGAATAGATCTTGTGTTTTGTGTTGAACTCAGGGGTGATTATTTTACCAAAGGGTGCTTTATTAAACACTATGCATTCAATAGATTACAAAATATAAATTGGTTGGCTTATCATCTACTATCAGAGAAAAACTTGTTCACTTCAACAAAATAATCAATATAAATCTGAAAGAGGTTTAATACAAACAGCTACAAAAGAAATTTCAAAACTATTTTCAAACTCTTGCTGATGTTCAGGGTAATGGATTTTGAATTTATAATGACTGATTTGGGTTTTCAGGAATAATATTCTATGAAACTGAGCAAGTAATTCCCAAGAATGTATGATAAATCTTACACCTACAGACCCTCTGTATTTATGTTCTGGTAGCAGTTGACAAGCTGTATTTGCCACTCAGATATAACTAGTGCTCTCTAACTGTATTTACCAGTCAAGTCTGATGACAAGATGTTTGATTGTGGGTCTTAAGAACATTCTGATACTAAAAATCTAACAGAAACATCATCCCAGCCCACTCAAGTAGCAGTTGACAAGCTAACCAATTCAATTATTGGGCATAATCGTATGCATTTAAAAATCTGGCTTTGTAGATAGACATTGCTCATTGGTAAATATTGATTCTGTATATATTGAAACTATTTTGTTCAGTCTGAAATAGATATTAATGCACATCCCAGTGACTGTTTGATTCAATAGTCTTTATGTTTTGGGAAGACAATATGACATTCTCACAGTGTCAAGTTTTTACAAATTGTACTTACACCTTGACGGCAAAATCCACCTTTATTGTATCACAGAATTGGGCATTATTGCTTTGTGTTCATAGACTTTCTGCCGAAGCCTCTGATTGGCTGTATTTTCTAGTGCACAATCCAATCAAATCGCTTCATCTACAATCTTTCATGATAAAAAAAAAAGGTGGATATTGCTGTCAAGGTATAAGACAAAGGTCAAATGTGCATGTGTATCTTTTTCTACTATATCTGGCATCAAATGTCATATTAATAAAGTAGAAAATGTCTACCAGAGATGTTCAGTGAAATCCATGGCTCAAAGTGCATTTAGAATTAAAACTATAAGATGTTGATATTTATTTCAGTTTTATTTATAAATGTGATTCTATGTTTATTTTTGACCTGTCTCGTCCTAACTAAATTTGACTACATGTATTTAGCTTGTTATGAACTTTCGCAAATGATTAATTTGAAGGTTTTCAACAATTTCTGTATTTAGTTTTGTTTTTGTCTCTGAAATATTTAGTTCTGTAATTTTGGCCCTGGATTCCAAACATAAACAATAGCAGTCCTATTTTGAGATTATGGCAATTATAAAGCTCGTGTTTATGTTTTGAATACTTGTTAGTCCTCTATTATACTGATGGTAAAAATACCAAATTTAATGGAGCTGAAGTCCTTTTTTTCTGCTAGAATATTTGTGCTTTTGGATTCATAAAAGTGAAAAACTGTAATTGTATAAAATGTAAAAAGAAATGTAAATATTATTTTCGTATCACCACACCAAACATTGTAAATATAAACATTGTGTAGACATATCTCTCTACACATAAATAAAATACTTCCATTTCATATTTTTGTGTATTTTTATACGCCTTTGTGAAATGTGGAGCATATATTGGCGTTGAAGGCTGTGTTTTAAAATATCTTTGATCAGATATATCCAGGGCAATAGCAGTGGCTCATTAATAAAAATCTACACAAACAAATTGACCATAACAATTTCCTAAATGAAGACCAACATGGAAATCAAAAAGAATTTTCCTCATTTCACACTGCATAGCATTGCTTGTATTCAATAGTCCAAGCCTTCTAGACTTAATATTCCATTTGCCTACATAATACCTCCAGCAGTTCGATACAGTAGCTTTTGATTTTGGCATTTGCCTTTATATAGCTTACGACTGGACAATCAGGCACAGAAAATGAGGACATTAAACGTCCATTTCATTATGAAATGTTCTAGACTTTTCAAGAATGAAATTTGCGCAAGAATGCTCTTCCGAGGTCGATTTCTGGTAAAAGGGAGACAACTACAATGAAGCATGTCATTCTAAACTTTTAGGTGGTCTGTAGCCTATTATTGCAAACTAACTTACGGCTGGACAATCAGGCACAGAAAATGAGGACATTAAACGTCCATTTCATTATGAAATGTTCTAGACTTTTCAAGTTAGGAACGTGAATGAAATTTGCGCAAGAATGATCTTCCGAGGTCGATTTCTGGTAGAAGGGAGACAACTACAATGAAGCATGTCATTCTAAATTCTATGTGGTTTGTAGCTTATTATTGCAAACTAACCTACGACTGGACAATCAGACACAGAAAATGAGGACATTGAACGTTCATTTCATTATGAAATGTTCTATACTTTTCAAGTTAGGAACCTGAATGAAATTTGCGCAAGAATGATCTTCCGAGGTCGATTTCTGGTAAAAGGGAGACAACTACAATGAAGCATGTCATTCTAAATTCTATGTGGTCTGTAGCTTATTATTGCAAACTAACTTACGACTGGACAATCAGACACAGAAAATGAGGACATTGAACGTCCATTTCATTATGAAATGTTCTAGACTTTTCAAGTTAGGAACGTGAATGAAATTTGCGCAAGAATGATCTTCCGAGGTCGATTTCTGGTACAAGGGAGACAACTACAATGAAGCATGTCATTCTAAACTTTTAGGTGGTCTGTAGCTTATTATTGCAAACTAACTTACGACTGGACAATCAGACACAGAAAATGAGGACATTGAACGTCCATTTCATTATGAAATGTTCTAGACTTTTCAAGTTAGGAACGTGAATGAAATTTGCGCAAGAATGATCTTCCGAGGTCGATTTCTGGTACAAGGGAGACAACTACAATGAAGCATGTTATTCTAAACTTCTATGTGGTCTGTAGGTTATTGCAAACTAACTTACGACTGAACAATCAGGCACGGAAAATGAGGACATTAAACGTCCATTTCATTTAGAAATGTTCTAGACTTTTCAAGTTAGGAAAGTGAATGAAATTTGCGCAAGAATGATCTTCCGAGGTCGATTTCTGGTAAAAGGGAGACAACTACAATGAAGCATGTCATTCTAAACTTCTATGTGGTCTGTAGCTTATTATTGCAAACTAATTTTAGTTTGGGGACATTTCACATATTTATTGATCTAAAGTAAAAACTTGTGTCCAGACGGCAGCCTTTTTAAATTCTTCACTATCTCTCAACAAATACAAACAATCTGTAATAGAAAAAACAAATCAAATTTTATTTTGAATCCAGTTCAACCCGTGAAGATTTGGTGGCAGAATGTTACAGGATTGATATAATTGGATTATGTTTCATTCAGGCAAGTACTCAAGTACAATGTGGAACAAATCTATAACTTTTTCAAACTAAATATCATTTCCCAAACCATCTTTACAGGTGAGGACTGTGTACGGCTTTCATACAGTAGAATATTCCAATTGTCAAGCTCTTGTTCAAAGAATTTGCTTATATGCTTTAAGTTTCATACTTAAAATGAACCCAATGAAAAAGTAAATGCTCTGATGGCAAATGTAAAGAACAAAAATTTGCAAACCTTTTAAAGATTTTCTGGCATGAGGTGACAGTAGATCATCAGAAAGTTCTAATATTGAAACCATCCAGTTTACTATCTATAAAACATAAAAATGGTGAGCTTATTCTAGAGGAGTGACCATCCCCAGTCTCCCTAGCAACATCCACCATCTGTTTTTGACCTGTTGTTTTATTTTAAATAATTTCAGAAGAGAGTTAGGATGCTCTGTTTTCGCAAGTGGCAATCACAAATTTATATTACATTATCAATTAAAGTTATAGGTTCGCCATTTTCAGACCTCAGACAAGGAAATTCACTTTCTATTTCTATTATGTCTTATCTTTATATGATATAGTCTCAAGAATAGACAGGTCTTCATTTTAACTTTCAATAGCAGATAATTCTGAACACATGGATTTGAAGGCTCAAATTTTGATGGTGTGCTGTGAACACTATTACTGATTAACTTAGCTAAAAAAAATCCAGTTTCTGAGACAAAGGTATGATTGTGGAACGATTGGCCAACTTGTTCCTTTAAATAACAAATTTTCTGTGAACATATTTTACTTACTTTTGGTAAGATTTGAAGCCATGGTTCAACTTTTAGATTAACGATGGATACAGGAAGAGACTGGAGACATTGGAGTATATCAACAGTAGGAACCTGGCTGGTCTTAGTTTCACTGTCAACATCTGATATCAACAGTTTAGTATCTATATTGATCATACAGGCTACAGACGGCATGGTCCAGATTGAGATAGCAGCTGACACCACTCCAATCAGCAACTCCAAAACCTGCAAATACATAGTAAAAAAAAAATTAATTCCTAGTTCTCCAATAAGACGTCCATTTCTAGAAGTAAACACGATGAATTAGAATTGTCCAACAAGACACTCTGAAACTTGAAAATGCATTTGAATAAAATGAAATATTAGAATTTCATAAAATATCATACAAACTATATTAGCTATTTAAGTGGAGGTCAATTTCAAATAATTCTTGATTTAGACTCTTGAGTTTAAGTATTTATTTTTGAAAACCTGAATGGTGTAAATACAAGCTAAAAGTGTCCACAATACACATACACAGAAAAACTCTTTTGAATTCCTTAAAGATCTCAACTATTACTTACGGTAGCTAATGGCAGGGCATTATCATCTAATTGTATAACTCCGATACTGATATTACGAACATGGCCAACCAGTTCCAACAACCATTGTACCAAATACATAGCACCAGTTGATTCTGTTGAACTCATGACAGTGGAATAAAAACAATGGCACAGTATGCTGAATACTTTCTTATAATCACTACAAGAAAAGGCATTAACATACCTAAGATAAGCAGGCATATGAAATGAAATGAATGGACTTTTATGTCCTACTCTTCTGCAACTAATTGAGCTGATGAAGACGCCATGCAATGTGTCCAATGAGGGAAATTTTGCCAGGACAGTCGCATTAGCCTTTAGTAGGCATACAAGACAGAATATGACAGAAGTAACATTAAAGGGGCACAATCACTATCTGTTCGATCAATCGTACAATATTCTTACAAGTACTTACTAAAACTCAAGATATTCAAGTCCCAGTTAAATGCCAAAGAGGGTGACTATAATTTTATTTCAACACTCTTTGAAAATTGAGTTTTGAGTGTCAAGGCCCCAAGTTGCCTGACCTCATGCAAACATGATCACTTATGGACTTATTTCCCATGTTGATCCACTACCTAAATAACAAGAATGTTGTAAATTATAGAGAACCATACCAAGTTTTATTATTAATAGTAGCATCTAAACAGCTGTTGAGAATCACAATGGGTTGTCTCCCCATAGCTACCAGTTGACATCGTATAAAAACTCCTTTTATGAAAGTTTTTGGGTCTGTGAAATCATCAGCTGTCATTGTATCGAATCTATCATCAGGGATACTGAACAAACATTTTGAAAGGTTAGTTAAGACTTGTACCTATAAATATAAAATGGAATGGTTAATAACATACAGAATTTCGGTGCCAATTAGTTTGGTTGTATCCTGTCCCATGTTGATCAACAACAACTCAAGGTTAATAATTATACTTTATGTAGAAAACCATGACAAGACATGAAGATGTTAAAATGACAGTAGTCAGTAGACAGAAAGCCTAGGTTGTTGCTTTGTGCAACATTTCAAGAAGGCTAACTTGATTAGTGAAATAAACCTTATAGCACAGATTGTCTAAAAACAGATACATAAACAAAACAGTTCAGCACAGCACCTTATTTGGGAAATTAAACCAAGTGTTATCACCCTAACAGACTAAAGAAATAATAAACACAATAAACTAATTCTGTACCTAAACTGGCTTTTGAAATGAAATGTTTTATATCTGACTAATGATTAATCCTGTTAATAAAATAAAATGGTTCTAAATTTTCCAATCCAACTGTTGGTAATGAACTTACATCAGAGCAGTCTGTAACAGCTTTATATAAATTCTCTGTAGTCTCATATAACATTAGAGTAACTGATTTGGGTGGATCGTGGACCAGCAAAGCTTTGTTTAACCCTTCTAATACAGCTACACAATGAGAGGACTGGACTGGGGTAGTGGAGAATGGAATCATACAACATTTCGATAGGAAGATCTTTAATACTGAGAATTGAACTGGTTTTAACATCAATGGTAAACTCTTAAACAGTTCTATCCTACAATCATCCTGAAATTACAAAACGAAAATTGACATTAATCGGTGCCTCTACAACTGGAAATCTGTGGATCAAAATCCTCAAGAAGACAAAGTAATAGGTATGAAATGAGCTTTCCCAGATCATTCAAGTTTATTGTCCCAACTGTCTTTCACACGGACAATATCCAGAGGCTTCCTCTAGCATCACTGACTAGCGAGAACTATCATATTTCTTGAAGTATGAAACATGGTTTCATTGCTTTGCTAAAGTTGTTTAACATTTGGAACATTGTGTTTAACAGAATCAAGTGGTGCTATGTATCTGGTACAATGGTCGTTGGAAATAGTTGGAAACATTCGTAACATCAGAATCAGAGCAAATAACATAGAGTAAAACTAGGGGGTACAGTTAGGGGGGATTTCAAAATATATCGTAGAATTTTTATACTTTTTGTCTGGAAGTATGGGTCAGAATTCACCAAATCAATTCTGTTTTTCAAAATATTTCTGGGAGAGAATCTTAGAAAGTCTATGGTGATTCCTCCTCGAAATCTCAACACCATCAATTGTCCCCATTTAGTCAATCTGTCCTCTGTTTGTAAACCCAAGTTCCAAGAGGCTGGAGCCACAGACTGACACCAATATTAGACAAGAGATATATTTACCGTTAAGGATGAAAACAATGTTGGCTGTAACCATGACGATATAAAAGAAGCAGCAGTAGGTGAAGAGATACATTGTGTTATAGCTAGTTTTATACACAAACATTTTATTTCATTATCTAAAAGTAAAATGGAACATTTCATAAAACTTCAAAATAGTAACACAATAGCTAACAGTTGGGTGCGATTAGAGACAAGATACAGTGTGAAGTGCAGACTAATAGATACAATATATTATAGAAGAAGCAAATCATGTCTGAAAGCCAGGTCAGGTCAGTTTCACTGAGGCATAATCACATCCTATTTGTTTGACATTATATTTTTCACTGGTATATGTTATTTCTTCAATGGCTGAAAAAGTTCACGTGGTCAATGTCCATTATCTTTCCATAGCCGTTAGGACCTTGAGATAGAAATATTATTCTGTTCTTCAAATTTTTTGTGATTTAACTTACCATATTCCATTCTCATCAAAGGGGAGAGAACTCCTGCCCAGTTTAATGGCGGTAACAGACGTGAGACTTCATCTTGTAAAGAATTCAACACAACCTTTAATTCACCATTTTTTACCTTCTCTGGTCCTGATATAGAAAATAAAAATAGATTTGGTAACAGCTCTAAATGTAAATAAGACAATTTTATGTGTGCTACCATTAAATCCTGAATACAGGTTTTGAGGTGGTCTAGCACGTATTAAACTAAACACTACACTTCCGTTTGGCCAGCTTCAATACTTTTAGGGCCAATTTTGATTGGACAATGTTCAGCTATTAATACGTAAATTCCCTCACTTGTGTTACCACGGTCACAGATACGATACAGACTGTGCACATTAAAGATTAAATCTATAAAGAGTAGGCTAATGCCAATGTCTTCACAAAATTTTCTTCATTGAACACTGCATGTTATTGTCTATCCCCATAAGGCAGAACAGCTTTAGAAAAGAAATACAGAAAACTCTTGTTAATCATCAAGTCATATATAGTGGTTATCTCCCATGTATAATATATTTGTCTTTATTAATGTATAGCATAAATCATTGACTAACCAACACATTCCAAACTATTACCTATTTCTACCCTGTTTCACTGTGACAGGTAAACTTTGTAATTGAGACCCAGATAATAAATATTCATGATGCATGTACAGGAGAGTTCACTAAAGAGTTAGGGGTGTCAGTCATCATTTAAGAATGAAAAATGCAGGTGTGGTATACTTCACTTAAGAATTACGTTATTAGTTGAAAATTTAAAATGCAGGTTAAGGAGAGTTCAATATAGAGTTAAGGGTGTCAGTCATTGATTGGTATTAAAAATGCATGTGTGGGAGAGTTCACTATAGATCTAGGGATGTCAGTCTGTGGTTGAGAATGAAGAATGCATGTGAGGAAGAGTTCACTATAGAGTTATGGGTGTCAGGTTCTTACCATGTTTACCAGCTTCCAGTAGAAAATCAACCAGACTTCTTAAAACACTGGTTTCCTTCAGGTAACTATAGTTCGGTGGAACTGAAAAAATACAAAACAGAAGTCAGGCAAATGAGATTAATGGAGTTTCTTTAGCTTATAAAATGTTTCAACTTAATTTCTAAAAATCCAGGGTTTTGTTCTGTATTAGTTAAATTTGGTGAAACTGTATCTGATGTCAAAATTAATCAAATACCAACCACTAGCTCTGGTCTCAGTGACAGCACAAGCTGATAGATACAGATGACCCAACATCCATGCTGCATTACCCTGGATACCAATATCAGTTGACGTACTGATGACTTTAGAAGCCATTTTTACAATTTCATTGGTGGAGGTTTCGTTGGTACTGCTTCTGGCTGATGAGGGAGTCTAAATCAAATGTATAATAGTTTTTTGTCATTTTTTGGAGGGGTTATGGAAACAGAAGTTTTTGCATGGAAGTCAGAAACAGTGTTGGGCTTAGAGATGTCTTTGATAACTCAAAGAAATGACTTTAAATATGAAATAGCTGAGTTAGATAAACATTTTTAGTTATGTGGACTCTCTGAATGGAGTTTAAATATGAAAGTGCTGATTTTTATAAACTTATTAGTTATGTGGACTCTCTGAGTCAAATTGCTTTCGATGCTTACCTGGCCCCCCCCTCCCCCTCCAGCTACGGGCCTGTTGTATTAGCTGAATGGAGTTGGTGAGCTCATGTGCAAAATGTCATTGAGGGTTTATTTCATGACATAAAATAAATCAAATAGAGGTTTGATACATTATAAGCTATGTGTACTCTCTAAATAGAGTTTAGTTCACAATCTCATTTGAGAATTGGGTGAAAATAGATAATAAATCAAAAAGAGCATGAAATACAGTAATCTGATTGGATTAAATTACTAAATATAAAATCAGATGACTCAAACACTTAAATCATCGTAATAAGCTATGTGGACTCTCTTAATGGAGTCAAGTTCACAACCTCATACGAAAATTGGGTAAGAATTTCAACACAGATAATGAATTAAAAAGAGCATGGATACGTACAGCTATTAAAGTCCTCTCTGAACCAATCATTGCTAACAAACCATTTAAAACAGATACTTTAATCAGAGGAGACGTGTCCTAAAAATATAACAAAACAGATTCTTGATCTGATTAAAGCTATCGAACATAACATATTACAGTCCTGCGTAAAAATATTTTACTACATCAGGAAACAAATCAACACATAAATATATGGGCAGTCTTGATTATTGGTGGAATCCAAAGTTTAAATCTTCAATACATTCAAGGTTTAACATACTCTACATGCTACAATGGATTACTTTTATCATAAAGTACAGTTATTTAAGACAATGTTAATTGTTGAAATGTAATCGTTCGCAGGAAACTTGTGTTGTGATGATTACCTTTACACCCAATCCATCCCTTACCACCCACCCCTTCTCCTCCCAAACAAAATGTCACCAAACTGACATCAATTTGTTAATAATAATACTATAATGAATTAATTCTACCATAATATACAGTTATTTATGTGAACTAGAGGTCAAGACAATAAAACCCCATATTTTAAAGAAATCAATGAAGCAATAATAGACAGGAGTTAATGTATAGTGAGTTTTGTGAACTGTGTCTTCCTGTTTTCACGAAACTAAGCAGACTCGTAGTTCTCTTAAATTAGGTTTCATCTCCAATCTATTTTAAGCTTTTCATCAGACAATGTTTTGTATTGATAATGCTTGAGGCCTCATTGTGACATTACACATATATACTAGCTGGAGTCGACAAGAATCGGCAAGTAGCGGCAAGTAGTGTAAAAATAATCCCGATGATAAAGTTCAAGGCTGATTGCCGCAGGAGAATATTTATCATTAATCTTACCAAGATGATTCAAAAATACTGACTGCCTTCTGTCCCGAGGTAATACTGTATACATTGTAAGAAATAATTTAACCTATAAAGGCGTGATTTTGATTCCAGCAATGTGAACCAGTTCTACATCTTGAGTCTTTACGCCTCCATAATCTAATAATTTTACTGAGCGTGATTTTTAAAAAAAATAAATCTTAATGAAGTATAATAAATGAAGCCCTTAACTAATCTTCCTGATGAACATATTATATTTGAAACACGTGTTAGCACCTGAGTTAATCTCTTAATAACAAAATATTATTTTATTAACAATGAGCGTCGTCCAAAATCATGTACACCAACACAGTAGCTGATTTCATACTAGCTAAAATTCATAAAGATATGCTCCAAAATAAGAGCAAAAGTGTTGCCTTTATCATGTTTCACAAGCCAATTTTAATAGACTGCAAAAAGTGCATCCAGTCAAGAGCAATAACTCATAAACTTTCCATTGGATATTGGTGAAATCTAACATATACATGAGAATACAAAGTTTCTATAAAATCTGATCAAAACGATATTCTCTTTCACACTCAGATAAAAATTTAAATGGATGAACTGGGGCTATCCTCCTGAGCTATTTAACAGCAAAACCTTGGTCCTGGTCAAACTTCTTGGCATTGATCTTTCTCAGATTATCTATACAACTGTACAGCTGGGTTGATGGAAATAATGAAAAACATGAAAACACAAATTTTCCAATGTATCGAATCAATGACAAAACCACTATTACAGCTATATTCCATTCAGGACAAATATTGAAATATGTACAAGAAGTAAAGGATCTTAAACAAGTGCTTATGTCATATAAAATCTGAGTTATATGAGTTGCCAGTTATGAACTTGTTTAGTTATGAACTTGTGTTATGAACCAGGAACAGTACTGTTTTGTGATAAAAGTTGTTATCAAAAAGCGAATAAAATGATAATTACCTGTGATTGTATAGACGTCAGCCAAGTTCGTATCAAATCATCATAAAGTTTATTGATGATTGTGTGTCCGAGTGACATTAAATTATAACACATCATACCCAGAGCTAAGCTAACACCCGACATCTGTAAACAGGTGTTAAAATAATTCACATTTTTCAAATATAATTCAAGCAAAATAACGTAGATAAGATATGATATAAGTAATTTTGTTTGTTCAATTAATAATAAATAAAGGAATTTATTAAAAATAGATTACAAATCAGTTTTCGTTTTTAAGTATCTTTCCTCTTTAATGTACTCTAACAAGTTTTCTAATGCAGTCCTGTTCTATCCACCCAATTTTTAACCAATCAAATTGTTCCCTGTAGAACATGTGTTTTGATAACAATGAAAGCCTCATTAAGTTTGCTTCCCACAATTCTTCATTTTTTTTTTGTTTTTAATAAGATTGCCACAGAGGTGACTTTAACCTTTGACCCTGATTAGAAACTGGTTTGACCTCACTGATCAGAGTTCATTGATCAAAAATGGCACGAGAAGAAACCTGCAAAAAAAATATGAAAGGAAAAAAGTTGATCTGCATTATAATCAGATTACTGGAAATATTTCATATATTTATCAGTTAGTGAAGCCTTATTCAAATCACAGAAAAACAAGAAAACTGGTCAAAAGTCTGATAATAATTAAGTTGGGAGTGGATGGATCCTACTCAATGTTATTACAAACCAAGTCTCTGACATGTTTGTTTCGTGGGAGGATGACAAAAATGATTCCTGAGTCTGAAACGTGAAAATTAAATAATAATCCCAGATCAAAAAACACAAAGTGAAGGCAATTCTAGTTTTATTTTTATGAGACAACTTCAAATTAGTACTGATAGTCTCAGATTATTTTTGGTTTATAGATATTTCCATAAAAAAAAAATATTTCTAAATAGATTATTGTAAAGAAATAATAAATAGACCAAATATGGAATGTAAGCTGTCTGGAAGGGTTTTGTTTTCTAGAAGAGTTTTGTTTTCTAGAAGGGTTTTGTTGTCTAGAAGGGTTTTGTTTTCTAGAAGAGTTTTGTTTTCTAGAAGGGTTTTGTTGTCTAGAAGGGTTTTGTTTTCTGGAAGGGTTTTGTTTTCTGGAAGGGTTTTGTTTTCTAGAAGGGTTTTGTTTTCTGGAAGAGTTTTGTTTACTAGAAGGGTTTTGGTTTTGTTTTCTAGAAGGGTTTTGTTTTCTAGAAGAGTTTTGTTTTCTAGAAGGGTTTTGTTTTCTAGAAGAGTTTTGTTTTCTGGAAGGGTTTTGTTTTCTAGAAGGGTTTTGTTTTCTAGAAGGGTTTTGTTTTCTAGGAAGGGTTTGGTTTTCTAGAAGGGTTTTGTTTTCTAGAAGGTTTTGTTTTCTAGAAGAGTTTTGTTTTCTAGAAGGGTTTTGTTTTCTAGAAGGGTTTTGTTTTCTGGAAGAGTTTTGTTTTCTAGAAGGGTTTTGTTTTCTAGAAGGGTTTTGTTTTCTGGAAGAGTTTTGTTTTCTAGAAGGGTTTTGTTTTCTAGAAGGGTTTTGTTTTCTAGAAGGGTTTTGTTTTCTAGAAGAGTTTTGTTTTCTAGAAGGGTTTTGTTTTCTGGAAGAGTTTTGTTTTCTAGAAGGGTTTTGTTTTCTAGAAGAGTTTTGTTTTCTAGAAGGGTTTGGTCTTCTGGAAGGGTTTTGTTTTCTAGAAGGGTTTTGTTTTCTAGAAGGGAAGTGTGCTTAGTTCTAATGTAAAATCACCAGATCTACCCAAAATAATTTTAGAACCAATGATACACATTTGAAAATTTATATTTCATCTTTCATCATATGATAAAATAATATAACTAAGAAATTGTTTGTACATTTTAAGACGAAATTATATTTGCTATATATAGAAAACAGTAATTAATATAAAAAAACTGAAAAAATTCAGAGAGATCTAAAAAAGAAACCTCAAAGCTATCCTGAATATATCCTAAAACCCAAATTGGTTATAAAAAACTATTTCATGTTTGTCTCAAGGATGACATAACTATTTTTTAGATAATAATTTCTCTTTTTAATATCTTGATAGCAAGTCAGAAAACTACAAAAGCAGAATGACAAAATGAATCGGAAAAAAATTCTTGATGTTTCTTCTTAAGATAATTTTTGTTCCCGCTGTTAATTAAGGATTGCAAAAAAGACACAGAAAATTATTTTAAAAAGTTCTTTCATGAGTCTGATGATTGTCTTTCATTTTCTTTTTCCTTCTTTTCAATTACAGTCGAACATAATGAAAATATGATGTCAAAGAATTCCACATAATGAAAGAAGATTGGTCAAGACATGTACATTTTCTTTTTATTGATCTAGCTTTGACATGCTTTGTGTTTACAAAGTTAAAAAACTAGGTCCTAATTTATTTATAACTCTCGTTTGCCTACATATGTCCGAAGACCATGAGCAAATTCAAAATTGTCTAAAATTGACATGCCTCGAGTGTACAGTATTAAAAAAACTAGGTTGTACTTTGTTAATAAGTGATTTATAAATTCGAGGACAATGAGCAAATTTTAAATTTGTCTAAAAATTGCTTCTTTGAAAGTTTTAATCCCGATTTTTTGTGGTAGGAGTAAAAGTTGATTTCAGTTACATTGAAAAAACAGCTATCACTTCATTTCAATTTATTTATTAATTTATTACATTCTGGTATAGAAAATCTATCTATTATCTTTCTATTCTAGACTAAATATGTCTTAAAAATGGAAATGGAATATTGGAAAATGATAAAGATATCAGGCAGGTGACTACAGTCCAGTACCAAGAAAAGGGTCCTATACAATATCATTAGAACAGGTCTGCAATAGAAAACTTGTTAGATTATATTGGAGAGGAAAAATATAAATAAATAGAAACAATATTGTCATTAAATTACACTGGTGGCAAGAAAAATCATTTAAAAATTTTTACCGACCTATACAACTCTTTCAAAAACTAAAACTAATTGAAATCTTATTTCAACAGTCTAATTTTTTTCGCGGGACTATAAAAATTACCTGTTGATATTTCTGATGAGTCTGGTATAATGTGTCTATCAGATTGGTGATTCTTGGTGACGTTATAATATTATTGGTAAACGCTGATCCAGCTATACAAGCCATTGCTACACATATTGACTGAAAATATCATAATATATCATTTTAAACTTATTTTCTCTTTCAAAACACCTGATGCAACTGCTTGACAGGTTTTATCAACTCGGCCACCTTATGGAGTGTCAACATTGCTAATATGCTGTTTATTTGGTACTAAGGTTTGCCAACCTGTCATCACCTTCTGAGAGTCTCTATTATAATTCATATCAGCATCAATTTCAGAGAGTTCACAGAACTACTATTGTTCTTCTAGGGCACCTGGCCATGTATTCTCAAAACGATCTTAACGCTAGGATATCCTAGATTCTTATCTTCTAATATTGATTCTAGGACATCCTAGCGCTAAGATCGTTTCGAGAATACATGGCCTGAATTTGTCTACATTGCTAATAATATTTAATTAGTAATTGGGATTGCCAATTTGACATCATTTTCAGAATCGGATTTAAAATTCATAATTATCATGATGTATTGACAAATATTACCATCTTCACAATTATAACAAATAACTTAACTATTTGAAACAGATGCTTTTTTCATGCTATTTAAGACTGTTTTTGTTGGATATTTATGGTTTTTTTCACTTTCAAAATTTAAAAGATATATATACATGATATATGATCAATAACTTGATCTGGTAAAGACTAGCCCTTTTTTGCACTCTTACCTGATAACTAGAATGATTGACATCTGTACAATTAAATAACACCCCGATCTTGTCTACAATGTCTGTTACATGAACTCGTGAATCTGTCTGACTGTCTTGGCTTAATCCACTTATAGCTAATCCTAAACCTAATATACACCCACTTCTAGAAAGAAATGAAATGGAGTTTTATATCCTATTGTTCTGTATCTTATTGGACTAATGAAATGAAATGCAGTTTTATATCCTACTGTTCTGTACCTTATTGGACTAATGAAATGAAATAGAGTTTTATATCCTACTGTTCTGTATCTTATTGAACTAATGAAATGAAATGTAGTTTTATATCCTACTGTTCTGTAACTTATTGGACTAATGAAATGAAATAGAGTTTTATATCCTACTGTTCTGTATCTTATTGGACTAATGAAATAAAATGGAGTTTTATATCCTACTGTTCTGTATCTTATTGGACTAATGAAATGAAATGTAGTTTTATATCCTACTGTTCTATACCTTATTGGACTAATGAAATGAAATGGAGTTTTATATCCTACTGTTCTGTATCTTATTGGACTAATGAAATGAAATAGAGCTTTATATCCTACTGTTCTGTATCTTATTGGACTAATGAAATGAAATGGAGCTTTATATCCTACTGTTCTGTACCTTATTGAACTAATGAAATGAAATGGAGCTTTATATTCTACTGTTCTGTATCTTATTGGACTAATGAAATGAAATAGAGTTTTATATCTTACTGTTCTGTATCTCATAGAGTTTTAAGTCATGCATCATATAGGGCAGGTGTTCCCAACCTATTTCAACCTTCACACCTCTAAAGCAACCACTTGGACATTTTACACCCCCAAAAATTTGTTTCATCCACATTTCCAGCATGTGATGATGTGAGGTGCTCTCTCAACTCAAAATAAATTCTTCTCCTACACCAGTTGGCCACATCCTTTACACCCTAGTCCAACATCCCCAGGGAGTGAATGTTGGGAACTAGGGATATAGGGCTAATGAAATGAAAGGTTTTAACACAAAGCATCCTTAACCAGATTAACTTCTTAATATCATGCATTTTTGAATTTGCAGAGTTCAGCGTCCTCTCTCTCATTTAATTTCAAATAATGCCCAGGGAAACTTTACCTGTTTTCTAGCTCTGTATTAAAACAAGTATCTTCTAGAATATTTAAACTTTTCCACAATTGAGTTAAAGCCTGAAAAAGACATGAAAGTGATAAATTCCAGCTGTTTGGAATTTAAATTGTAAAAGTCACAATGTCTCTGATGGTCTATATATATTGATGACGTGAATTTAAAGTCAGATACCGCTTATAAATGTCAATAATGCCTGTAAGACACATTCTGTGCGACGTAATTGTTTCTGAGCATTAGAAAATGCATGCTTTAAGAAATTGATACCTCGTGTCTTCAAATGGACATAATAATAACTTACTAGTGACAAAATTGTTTCTGCCAACACAAAACTGATAATATGTGTTTTATAGTCGTAAAAGAAATAACCCGAAGGCTTTGATTACATGTGTCCTCAATCTCAAAAGCTTAAGTTTGAGCTTGAGCTTGAGCTTGAGCTTGTGCTTGTGCTTGAGTTTGAGTTTGAGTTTGAGTTTGAGTTTGAGGTTGAGGTTGAGGTTGAGCTTGAGTTTGAGGTTGAGGTTGAGCTTGAGGATGAGTTTGAGCTTGAGCTTGAGTTTGAGTTTGAGTTTGAGCTTGAGCTTGAGCTTGAGTTTGAAGTTGAGGTTGAGGTTGAGCTTGAGCTTGAGCTTGAGTTTGAGTTTGAGCTTGAGGTTGAGCTTGAGGTTGAGCTTGAGGATGAGGAGGTTGAGCTTGAGGATGAGTTTGAGTTTGAGTTTGAGGTTGAGGTTGAGCTTGAGCTTGAGTTTTAGGAGTTTAAGTTTGAGTTATGTACACATGTAATCGTAGCTTAAGAGTTATATAAAGCTTATGATTGATTCACATATATTTTCCACAATTCTGTTACCAGGGTTACCTACCTTGGTTCCACAAATTTCAGAGAAATGTTCTTCAAACAATCTCCCAATCAGCATTCCACAGGCCAGACCATAGTGAAACTGAGCAACTGGTGATTCTTGACAACCTGGTTGCCCTGATAACCCGTCCACCAATCGTACGATAATAGCGTGGATTCTGTCAGTATCTGTAGACATCAGGACCGGGACTAACTGAGTTAGAGCCATACAGGATGATGTCTTTGCTAAAAGAGTTGCCGGTTTCCTTTCTTTAGCTTCAACCTGAAAGTATTTTTGTATTTACACGAAATATAAAACCAGCTGTGCCTTTTGATTGACAAAGTTAACAGTATTTTCATGTTTTGTCCACTGAATGAGCCATTTCATTGTAACCTGTCAAATCTTGATGTATAAATGACAAAAAGTGACTTGCTGCATTTGACAAGGTCTTGGAAAACTAGCTCTACATTCAGTTAGCATAAAGTTATGAATAGTTTTCATTTTTCAGCAACTGAACTTTGAGCCACTTAGTTGCAACCCATCAAATCTTGACATAAAGGTGACAAAAGTCAACTTGCTGCATTTGGCATGGGCTTGGAAAATAGCTCTGCATTCTGTTAACATGTTTTGGCCACTAAATGAACCAGCTTGTTATAAATCTTGGTATATAGATTGCCAAAGATGACTCGCTGTATCAACGAGTGACAAACAAATCATGTATCTTAGCAAATCATTGTTTTTTTGTAATTTCCTAAGTACAGTTTGAATCTTGGCATGTAATCTAAGTGACTTGTTGCATGACAAAACCTTTTAACAATGAGCATGGTACTGAAATATTGCAAGAATTCAATCCTTCTTCTATTATATTATATCTTACACTACTTTCAGATAAAAATTTTTTGTTCAAAATGTACGATGCACAGCTGAGACGATTTAAAGGAATGATCTTGGGTGTCATTTTTTCAGAGGGAAAAAAAGAAGATATATGTCACCTGAAGACACATATTGAAAATTTCCCCTTTCGGTTGATATGACACATCCATGACAGACATAATGGTATCCATGACGATCACCAACCAATGAGAATGGCTGACATGTTGACCAAGTTCTTCTGTCTGCCGGACATCTTCCTTGTCAAGTCCTTTAATGTGTCTTGTTACGGCTACTGCCAGTCCAGATAACGCCAACACGGAGTTACCCTGCATGCTGGGATTGTTTCTACAATAAATTAGATACATTTAACACTAGCTACAAAATTGATGACCATATGCTGTGGCAGATCATGGAAAGAAATCTTCAAGCAGTTAATATCTGATTATATGTATAGTTTAACCTGTGACTAA